ATCAAGCACAGCTCTGTGTTAAATATTATGCAGTGAGTGCTTTACATGCACCGGCTCATTTGTTCTTCACGCCCACCCTGTGGGTTTAAGAGCTGTTATCCTCATTTTACAAATGAAGCTGAGATTCATGTTTTAGTAACTTTGGACAGTCATCTAGGTGATAAATGGCAGAGCCGAAACTAGAACTAGAACTGAGTGTGCGAACCCAGCGCCCATCCTCTTATCCACGCTCTGCTCTGCGAAGTGTTGAATTAGGGCAGACTGACCACCTTCCAGAAGTGATTCCAGATTCCAGGTCATGGGGAGTTGTGCTTTGCTGCCCTGGAAGCCCCTTCCAACCCTGACTCTCTGTGACCTAAGTTTCACCCTCACCTGCAGCCCAGGATGGTGGCCCAGCCCCCAGCAAGTCTTCTGGTGACCTGTACAGAGCACACCAGGGGCTACTGACTCCTGGCCTTGACGTACTCTGCTATGTACACCTCACCTCCCCAGAGTGCGGCCTCCTTTTACAGGGTCAGGGACTGGCTCTTTCATCTCTTCTTTCCCCTAGCACCCAGTGTGACTACTTCACATGGTGGAGATCTGTTCTGGCCGCTCTCTCACAGCTGGTCCCAAGTGGTATCTGATGCATGTTTCCTTCCAAAATCCCAGGATAGAGTATGTAACGGTGACTCCAGAAGGATTCCGGTACCGGGGCCAAATCTTCCCAACTGTGAATGGGCTTTTCAGATGGTTTAAGGACCATTACCAGGATCCCGTACCAGGTGAGTTGTACTCTCTGACTTCTGGGGTGTGGTTGGAGGGACACTTAGCCCCTGACCCAAGGTAATCACTAATAGCCTTCTGTGTGGGAGTGAAACATAGTCTGTCGTTTCAGCTCACTTACTCCTACTCCAACTTCGTAGCATTAGGAAGTTCCTGCATCTACTTTGCCTATTTATCTTCATTTTTTCTCAGTGCTTCCTTCAGTCCCCTAAATTATGAAACCAGAAACATTACTGACTCTGGCTATTTCCTGTAGGAATCACCCCGAGTAGCAGCAGCAGGACCCGGACACCTGCTTCTATCAATGCTACCCCAGCTAACATCAACCTTGCGGGTAAGGAGCTCGAGCCTGGGACTGTGGCTCAGAGGAATAAAGTTGGGAGGACTTTCACCTCTAATGTGCCCACCTTCCACCTCTTTGTGCTTACAGATCTGACACGGGCTGTGAATGCACTTCCCCAGAACATGACCTCACAAATGTTCAGTGCCATTGCTGCTGTGACAAGCCAAGGACAGAACCCTAATGCCACCCCAGCCCAGTGGGCCTCCAGCCAGTATGGCTATGGGGGCAGTGGAGGAGGCAGCAGCGCTTACCACGTACGTGGCTTGGGGAGGAAGCTCTTCGCAGAGGGTGGGGAAGAGTGACAGGGATTAGTCATCTTTTAGATGTCCACAGACTGGCCACTGCCAGTGCCCATCTTGACATGCACAGATGGGCCTTAGGAACTGTCTCCAACAGATGTTCTTTGTCCTCAGGCCCATTTGAGGGGAGAAGGGGTAAGAGAAGGCCTGGCCTTTCTACAGAGTCCTTTGGGGTCTTTGGAACCCTCAAGCCACTAGAAACCTCAAGGGGTCAGGACTGGGAGGCCCTATTGTCGTGCCCAGTCCCATCCCACTGGGCTGCCTCTGCTGCTCAGGAGAGGGTCGGCTGGAAAGCTCTGTGCTGAGCCCAGATTTCCAGCTTTCCAGAAGCTCATGGGAAGGATAAATGTGCCACAAGCCCATTCCCATTTAACTGTTCACCCTCCTCCAGGTGTTCCCAACGCCAGCCCAGCAGCCAGTGGCCACGCCACTAATGACCCCCAGCTACTCCTACACGACTCCAAGCCAGCCCATCACCACACCACAGTACCACCAGCTCCAGGCCAGCACCACCCCACAGTCTGCCCAGGCCCAGCCCCAGCCCTCCTCCAGCTCTCGGCAACGGCAGCAGCAGCCAAAGTAAGTACATGGATGGTGGCATAGAGCAGGGTCTCGGTGAGGGCAGGTTACATTGGGAGACCAAGGGACTTAGCATAGGCAGGTACTCTGGGTCTTCTGAGGGCCATGACCCAAATAAAGTTCCACTGAGGGCTGCTTTCTGCAAGGTGACAGAGGAGGGCATTGTGGCAGCTGGCCACGGCTGCCACCCGTAGGTACGAGGTCCATTTCTGCAAGGGTGGATGTTCACTACTGATTGGGAAGGCTTCCTTCTAGAGAGCCGCAGGAGAGTTCCGGTCTGAAAAGCCCCTTCTTCTCCCTCCCAGGTCCAACAGCCACGCAGCCATCGACTGGGGGAAGATGGCAGAGCAGTGGCTGCAGGAGAAGGAGGCAGAGCGACGGAAACAGAAGCAACGGCTGACACCTCGGCCGTCCCCCAGCCCTATGATCGAAAGCACCCCCATGTCCATTGCTGGCGATGCCACCCCGCTCTTGGATGAGATGGATCGGTAGGGGGCCTACTCCTAGGACTCTGGTTACCTGTGAGGCTGGGAGAGGCCTGCCTCGTTCCCTGCCCCTCCTTTTCTGTCCATAAAGTGGAGTGAATTGACGTTCTCCTTGGTGGTCAGCCTGGATGGGCGACAGGCTGGATGGCCTTGCAAACTTGAGCTCAGTGTATGCTAGGCGACAGTTCTCCCACACCAGGCCCTCACCGACCACCTCTCCTGGGACCAGGCTGGGAAGGGAGTGTGGCAGGGAGGAGGAGGAAGAGGATGAGAGTGAGAGTGGAACAGTTTTATATTCTACTCCCCTACAAGCCATTTGAGCTTCTGCCCTCACCTGACTCTGGGCTGTGACGGGGCAGCAAGCTCAGCACATGAGTCTCCCCCAGCTCTTGTGGAGAGACAGATGCTATTTATTCAGTTTGGGGCAGGAGGAAGAGGAGGGGAAGTGTTTCTGACCCTGACGCCAACAACTTGGGCGGCTATCAAAGCAGGATTGCAGGGGACATAGGGTTGCAGTGCTAACCTGCCCACCTGACTACCTTCACCCACCTGCCGCCACACCGCTTCCTGCCTGTCATTTGAATAAACAGTGTTTCTACAGAGCACTTGGCAAAGCCTCTCTCTCCCTCTCTGGCTCTTCAGGGGTGGTTTTTGGAGCAGTGCTTGGAGCTCAGAAGGGTTCCCGACTCCCTCAGAGAGGCAGTGACTCAGGAAAGCAGGCAGCTTCCGCATCAGATTGCCTGGTGTCATTTTCCTGTTCCGCTTCCCAGCCCCGTGACCTGGAATGCACTCCTATTATCTAAGCCAGTTTATCCGTCAAGTGGAGATGGTGATACCTACCTCATCAGGGCATCTGTGAGGACAAATAGAATGTGTAAAGTCCTTGGCCAGGTGCCTGGGACTTTATAAGGCCTCAGTAAACGTTAGCTGCTGTTACTTTATTATTTCAACTCCCACACAGCCACCCCCATCCACACTGCCTACTACAGATGGCCCCCAACTTAATGATGGTTCAACTTAAGATTTTTTCACTTCACAATGCTGTGAAAGCTACACATATTTAATAGAAACTATACTTCACATTTTGAATGTTTGTTTTCCTGGGCCAGCGAGGTGCAGCAGGATATTCTCGTCATGTTAGGCGGCGGCGGCAGCGAGCCCCAGGCACCAGGGTAGACTACAGATATTCAAAGTGTGTCTGTGTTAGATGCTTTCTCCCAACTGTAGGCTAATGTAAGTTTAAAGTAGACTGGGCTAAGTTTTGGTGTTCAGGTGTGTTAAATGCATTTTTTACCTGACGATATTTCCAACCTTACAATGGGCTTATCAGGCTGTAAACCCATTGTAAGTCAGGGAGCATCTGTGGGCTTCTGTGGCACATTTGAGAAAGGCCACAAGTGAATCTGGGTTTCCCAACATGAGCCTCTGCACGCTCTCTCTCCTTTTTGCAGCTGGGCCTTAGTCTGACAGTGCTTCTACTCCAGTCAAGCCTGTCCGCCCCAGGGTGGGCCTCACACTCACCTACTACCCCTGCACAGACACACTGGCCCCGGGAGGAGGGGGCGGGGCTGTTGCAGGGCTGGCCAGTCCCAGGCCCTAGTACTTTCCCGCAGCCCCGCTGGTCTTTTCTTCTGGGCTGCAGACCTCCCTGGCTTCTTCACGAGACTTTTGTCTCATAGCTCTGTAGTGCTGGGAAAGTGAGGCTTTCCCACTCCCTGTCCTCTGCCTGAGGCTCAGCAGAGAAGTCAAAAAAGGCCATTGCTGCCCAAACTTGGTGAGTTCTCTTCCTTGCTTTTCATTTATTTCTTTTTTTTTTAATATATTAATTTGAAAGAAAGAAACATCGATTTGTTGCCCCACTCATTTATACATTTATTGGTTAATTCTTGTATGTGCCCTGACTGGAGATCTAAGCCACAACTTTTGGTGCACTCTGACCAACTGAGCTACACCAGCCAGGGCTCTTCCTTTCTTTTCTTCCTTCAAGATCTCTGCCTTTTGGTTGGTAAGAGTTGGGGGGAAGTGGGGAAGGGACTGGCTTTCTGTGGGGAATCCAGTTCAGTTCGCTTTGGTCTAGAAGGGCCTAGCAGGAGGAAGGACACACAGCTGATAAGATCATGTTCCCTTTGGTCTACCAGCACCTTCTCCAGGGCCACTAAAAGGAGGGAAAGGCCAGGCACAGTGGCAGAGTGGGTTAAAAGGTTCAGTTTATTAGCAGTATCACTACAGACAGTCCTACATGTCCCTGAGTGGATTTAACAGAGACCAGTGTCCCAGTAGACAGAAGCCGCCTTCCCACCCAACCCAGCTATGCTCTCCTGCCCTGGGCCTAGGATGTTAGAGAGAGGGGCTGTTACAGTCCCCTACCCCTGCCCTCCAGCCTACCTTCACATGGGTTTCCTCTTGAAAGATGGATTGCCCTTTAGAAACCCCTGCAGCCCTGTAGCCCCTTTGTTCCAGCTATGCCCAGAGCCCACCCTCTACCCACAGAAGTAGCCAAGTTGGAGGGAGACAGGACAGCAGCAGGGATCAGCTACAGGCTTGATCGTATTTATTCTTCACCCCGGTCGCCCTGGCCTCAACCGAGGTTTGATGCTGGGGGAGATTTCCTCTTGTTGACCTTGACTGGAGAGGCCTTCGCTCCAACTTTCTTGGCCTGGACCGTGTTCTTCTCTCTCTTTCTGGGTGATGAAGACTCCACAACATCATCGCTAAAGGGCTCCTCCCGCCTTTGTTCATTGTAACTGTCCTCACTCTCCAGGTCCTCCCTGCTGTCCGGGCTGGACTCTGACATCCTGGCCAGTTCCCTTGGGCTTGCTGATCTGCTCAAGTCTGCAGGCGAAGGTTCTGATTTAACTGGGCTTTTCTTTTTAGTCAGCTTGCCTTTCTTGACTTTTTTCTTCAGCTTTGCCTTCTCATCTATCTCCTCCTCACTTTTCTCTTTTTCGTTTTTCTTCTTGACCTTCTTGACAATTTTGCTACCCTGGGACTTCCCTGTGGGACTCTCAGAGCGCCAGATGGTGATGGGAGCCGCCGAGTCTGGGGTACCCGTGATTGTGCCCATTCCTCTGCCTGTGTCGGTGGGTGCGGTGGCGGTGGGCCCCACCTGGATCGGGATGGGAGGCTTGCTCTCTTCTTCCTCTTCCTCTTCTTCATTTAGGTCGTCTGCCCCACACTCGTGGTGGATGGGATGGTGGATCACTGCCACAGAGACAGGCCTGTAGCTCTTGCACCTGGGAGGGAAGAGGACAGGGAAAGAGAAGGTTGGCAGAGAGCGAGGGCCTGTGCCCCGCAGAGCCCCCATCAGCCTGCCAGCACTCACCAGCCATACCAGAACCGCTCCACACACTCTTCCTCTGGGATGAGTTTTGCAAAGCAAGGGGTCTGGATGATGTTGAGACAGGTTGAGCCCACATCTCGGGAACAGGTTGGGCCTACGTCTCGGGAGCTGCTGCTATTTGTCTTCTCTGAGTAGTCCTTCACCCTGCCACACGGAACTCAGCCTGGCTCCCACGCCTCCAGGACTCCCCCGCAGCCCAGAGCCAGAAGCCTGAGGACAGTGGGCTTTCCCAGTGGTGACTCCAGGCTCAGCCCAGGCCGAAAAAAAGACCTCCTCCCCATTGCTCTTAGAGTAGAGCCAGGTTTGTAAAGCTGGGGCTGGGCAGGCAGCCTTCGGTCAGAGCTGAAGAAGGGAACCCCAGTGAAAGTTTGGACCTGGCTCTGCCCGGAGTTTCCTGGTCTGCGGGCCTCCCAAGGAGGAGGGTCCTTACCTGCAATCACAGCCGCAGTGGCTGATGGAGTGCAGGTGCAGTTTGTAGTGACCATAGTCGGAGGTGAAGGGGTGGATGAGATGCCCCGTGCACTGCTTGTGTTTCCAGCAGCACCTGTCAATGTCCTTGAATTCACCTGAGGGGTAGGAGTCTGAGTCACACAGGGGTGGCGGCAGTGGCAGCACATCAGTGGGTCTCCCCACAGCTCAGTCTGAAGGCTGCACCACGTTCACCTGCCACCACACCCCCCAGAGCTGTCTCTACTTCATGGTAGTAATTCAGCCCAGTAGTAACTCCAGGTCTCAGCACTGCTTTCCCCAGTCCCCTGCATGAATCTGCTGCCCCCTGCAAGCTCCCAAAAAAATGTCTCACCAAGGTCCTCACCAAATCCCCTTTGCTGTCCCGTGACACCTGCCCCTTTCCCTCCCCTCCCCAGTCTCCCATGGGAGCCTGCCCCGCTGGGGCCCTCCGCTGACTCTTGCTTGCCTTTCACCCAGCTGCTGGGAGTTTGCTACCTTCACAGGGCGCCTGGTAGGGGACGGATGGTTCTTTTACCATGGCAGACTGTGGAATGCCACTTCAGAGTCCCCAGTGATTAGAGCCAGTAGCAGTAACCTTAGTACCTACGAGGCCTTCAGCTGAGCCCTCAGAGCCTCTGAAGCTGTTCTGGCCCCAAGGCTGCCTGCAGCACGGTGGCTCCAGCCCGGAAGGCAGCTGAGGCCTGGCCTGCCACACGTCTTGTTCTCCTGACTGCTTCTCTTGACTCTGCTCCTTTGTTTTTTCCACCTCTCTTCTTCAAGCCCCTTCTCTCCAGACACCTTTCTCACTTCTCTCCCCTTTCCATGCCCACTCTTGATTCTTTCCCTGCTGTTTAATCATCAAATTCCTACTCCTCCATTCTTTCCAGTCCTTGGAGTCATGGACTTGAATCTAGCCCAGCCTGAGCCCTTTCTGCCCCTTGTAGGCTGCACAGATACTATGTCCCATTTCCCAGGGCACAGGGGAGAAGCTGCTGGAGTGAGAGTTTGGGATTAGGGGGAAGCCCTGGAGACAGGTCCCTACATCTTTTCCTCAACTGAATGCAAGTCTTGGACACACACTGGAGTCCCCCAGCCTCTACCTGCGCTGCCTCACCTCTGACCCTGCCCAAGGCTCCAGTCTATCTGTGGGTCTCCCTTCCTCCCACCCTCTAAAAGGTAAACCTGTGAAGTGACTCCACGTGCCCAGGATTTCACACACTAGGGTAGAGTGGACAAGGCACCTCCCTGCAGGTCCCTTTGGACTCTGGCTCCGTCCCCCTTGGGAGGAACAAGTGGGCAAGTACCAGTGACTTCCTGGCAGCCTGTAGTGGGCAGCCTGGCATGGGATCCTAGGGCTGGCTCACTGCCCCTTAACAGACCAGGACTGATCCAGCCCCTACGAGGTGTGACACAGGCATGAGCTCCTATAACCCAGGCGGAGGGTGTGTTAGTCCAGGTGGCCTTAAAGCACTTGAGGGATGAGTAGACCGCAGCTTGGTTTGAGCCTTGCCCCACATCCCGCCCCCACCCCTCCCCCGCAGGCTGTGAGGGCCCCAGGTGCTCCGTGCACTCTTGACCCACTTGGTGGCCTCCTTTTCTGCTTCCTCTCCCCTACCTCGTGCCCTTTCTTCACCAGTGTGTGAGGTGGGCCCTTGCAATACCACCACCACCTCCGCCTGCTTCAGCACTGCTGAAGTGGGACAAGGGGCAGTGATGGCAAGTGTCCTGAACCTGAAGCCAGGTAGGCCTGCATCCAAGTGTTCGCTCTATCACTAGCTGGGTGACTGAGGGCCGGTTATTTTACTTCTCCTGCCTTGTCCACAAAATGGGGGGGGTGGTAACACCTATTTTGCAGGGCTGTTGGGATGCCTCAGTTCACATGTCAAAGATACCCTGCCCCACAAAGTGCTATACAAAGGGGCGATCGTGGTCTCCAGAGAGGGGCCCTGCCCTCTCTGGCATGAATAGGTGATGGGGTGAGGGTGGGGTGGTGGGGCAACCCCTTCAGGACCAAGCCCTCCCTCCTGCCTACCACCAAGTGTCAACTTTCCCATGTCAAGGGTGGGGGGGACCTCTGGGGCCAGAGATTCCCCTGGACCCACCTTCAGAGGAGAAGGTAGATGCGTCAGTGCTAGACGCCACAGCAGCCAGCAGGTGTCCTCTCTCCCAGCTGGGTAACCTGTTTACATCTGAGAGAGTAGAGTGGCAGCAGCAGTGCCCCCTCCCCAGGCCTTTTATTCATCAAACATTTTCTGAGACTCTCCAGGTGTCAGGCCCCAGCCACGTCCAAGATGCCGAGGTTAAAAAAAAAGAAAAGTCCCCACTCTCAAGGGGCTGGGAGAAGGTTGTGGAGGGCATGCAGTTTGTGGGAACAGTTGGTGGCAGTGGTGTGGTGCAGAACAGATAGGGGAACGGTGGGTCGGTCGGCGGCCCTGGGGAGCAGAGAGCGCGGGCACCCACTGAGACGGGGTAAGATTAGGAAAGTCTTCCCAGAAAGAAGCGTAATGGAAGCTGAATCTGGAAGAATCATAGGACTGAGCCAGTCTAGGCAAGGAAGGGCAGATCGGGTGATTGTCATAGAGTGTGGAGCTGGGTCAGAAGTTGACCCAGCAGAACACCAGCTGGGACAGCAGCTGCGTCAATAACCACAGGGCAGAGTCTGCCGCTTTGCTGCTTCCCAAGATTAGCTTTATCCTTTGGGGCATCAGGAACTGAGTTCTGCTTAAGGAGGGGAAGCTGATTGCTTAGGGACTGCAGCTGGGCCTTCACTGGCACTTGGTCATCTTCCTGCAGTTCCCTGGTCGGCTCCTGTTTTCCATAGGACAGTAAGTACTCAGAATTTATCGAACGTTTGAATGAAGCCTCAGCACTTCCCTGGAAACTCCTCCCCTGCTGCCGTTCCTCTCAGCAGGTCATTGCACCAGCCTTCTCTGTGGCCACCGCCACCCCGTCAACTCGCCCCCAGCCTGGAGAAGCATCCCTCCTTCCTCCTGCCCAAGGCACCTGAACTCTAGGTCCCAGCCAGAATTGTCACTTTCTCCTTTAATGGTTGTTTTTTTCCCTACAGGCTATGAACACCTTTCGACAAAACAATCTATGAGCCCTATTTCTCCCTCTACCACTTCATATCGTTCCCTCCCCCTTTGCAATTCAAGTTTATCCACTCATTTAACAGACATGTTGAATGGCTTCTTCACTAGACCCAGTCAGGAGGCCAGGTCACTGCCTTCAGTGAGTCCAGACCCTTCCCTTCCCTTCTGGTCACCTACCCATGGCAGCCGTCCCAGGCCCTCTGTCAGACCAGCCCAGGCCGAGGCTATCAACAGTTTCCCACTAGCTAGACCCACTGGCCTCCTTTTCATCTTATCTCACTCACCCCATTAACCAGTCATCTCTTTCTCCTGTATACTCTGTTTCTTTGGCTGGCATGCAGACCTCTCTCATCCCTCTCTCTCTTCTCGGACTAGCTCTTCAGTTCTTTCTTTCGTAGCCCAGATGAAAAGACCAGCGGGGCTGCGGGAAAGTACTAGGGCCTGGGACTGGCCAGCCCTGCAATAGCCCCGCCCCCTCCTCCCGGGGCCAGTGTGTCTGTGCAGCGGTAGTAGGTGAGTGTGAGGCCCACCCTGGGGCAGACAGGCTTGACTGGAGTAGAAGCACTGTCAGACTAAGGCCCAGCTGCAAAAAGGTGAGAGAGCGTGCAGAGGCTCATGCTGGGAAACCCAGATTCACTTGTGGCCTTTCTTAACATCTTGGCTGCACACCTTAAATCGGTGATTACCAGGGTTCTGTCTTGGCTTTCCTTCTCAGAGTACAAGATTGTCTCACCTAACGTCATCCAAGTCCATGGTTTCAGTGTCCACCAATAAGATGACGCACAACTGGGTGGGTCTCCTGTCCTGACCGCTTTCCTGAGCACATGACCAATATCCTCTCTGACATTCCCAAACACCCTAGACCAACAGGTCCCACACAAGCCTGCCATCTTCTCCCCACCCTCCACAACCCAGCCCCTCTTGTCTCTTCCATTTCAGAGAACAGCAGCCACCACAGCTAGAAGTCCTTTCCCTCATCCCTACACCAGCTTGATGACCAATCTGCTCTCACTTCTGCCTCTGGCTTGGTTCACACGCTCCTTATCCCTGACCCAGATACTGCAGCAGCCTCCTGCCTGGCCTCCCTGCTTCCTGTCTCACTTCCTCCATCCAGTCCTCAGATGCAGCCAAACTGAGTTTTCTAGAATGCCAACTGGCCCACCATGTTCCTCTTCTTTAACAGCATTTTACTACCTTATCATGACGTAGCTCCTTATCATGCCCTCGCCCCAGAACCCAGGTCCTGGTTTCTTTCTCAGGTATCAGTTCCTCCCACTCATCCATCCCCTTCTCCATTCCTCCTCTCTGCCTTCCACTCCCCAGGAGTACCTGCTCATCGGGAAAGAACAATGATATCCAAGTAGGATTAGTCACATAGCTTGTTCCCCTTTACCCTGCCAGGGTTCCTCATGTATTTATAGCATCTTGAGAACAAGGCCCATAGTTCATCTGTTTCTACAGATCCTGGGACATGGAAAGTACTCAATAAATGTTGGTTGATAGAATAAATCAGGGTGTCAAACTTTTTCACCAGGGGCCTATTCTACTCATGCACTTATAAATGCATGAGTTAAAGAGAATAAACCCTCTATTGGAGCAAAGAAGCTATGGCAGTGGAAATTCTGCCCAGAGTTCGAACCTGGAGGCTTTTTTGGGGAAAAAGAATTGACCCAGGGTGAGCATCTTCACAGTGTCAGGCACTGTGCTGGGCTTTTAAAAGACACCTTTGATTCTAGGTGCTCTCGCCACAGCCCATTCTCTGAATGAGGACAGAGATATTCAGAATAAGTAAGTTGTCCAAAGACCCAATTTAATAGATGGCAGAGCAGGATTTGAACCCAGTCTTCCTGGCTCAATAATCTGTGCTGTTTCAGCTGTTTGTTTGGGACTCCAATCCGAAACCTGTGCTGCCAGATGTCCCTTCCTACTACACCTGCTCAGCCCTAACACAGCCGATTCCCCATCCTCTGGCTTTTCCCAATCCTGATTCCCACGGACTCCCTTACCCACAGCTTGGACCTAAGGTCAGGCCAGGGGGCCCTGAGCCAGGACTCAAACTCTGCTTTGTCTGACTCCACTTCCCTTGTTCTCTCCAGAGTCCCCATGGGAAGGCCTAGATGCAGGGCTGACTTGCGCCAAGCCCCAAGAAGCCCTGACAATCGTATCTGTTTTCCAAGGAGTGGGATTTAGTAACTCCTAGGTCTGAGGAAGGCAACCTGCTTTCTAGCTTCACAGACATCAGAGAGCTTCACTGAATCAGTTCAGAGCTCCAGCGGCAGAAGCAAACAGACACGTGGCAGGATGGGGTGGGTGATAGCTTGAAAGGAAGAGGGAGGCTTGTGGTCTCTTTCTCAGCAGGACATTAAACGGGGTACAAGGTCCTAACTCAAAACTCACAGGTGATGCTCATTTGTACAGAATCCTCCCAGTCCTGAGGGCCGAGGAGCTTCCCCGCCCTTGCAGCACAGACGGTGGGGTTCCAGGTTGGACACCAGAGCAGCTGAATAGGGGAAGGAGGGAAGGAAAGTGGAAGGGAGAAAGGAAGGGAGGAAAAAACCAGGAAGGGAAGGAGGGAAGAGGAGGGAGCAAAGCAGGGGTAGTGTGCACGGTCTCCTTGGAAATGCAGCCCTGGCCCCGCCCACATCTGAAGGCGATTGTGATGTCACGCGTGGAACCTCCAGACTCCTTTTGGCCCTCAGAGTCAGTAGAACTTTCCTCCCAAGCCCCGGCGGCAGGTTGGACGCTGGACCATGGGCTCCAGCCAGGCCCAGCCCTTCTCGGGCTACTGCACAGCAATGCCTCCCAGCTGTGCAAAGAGGAGTTACCGCTCTCACTCCAGCCAGAAAGCCTCAGCAAAACACAGAGGTTAAAGGCTTAAAGTCCCCAGTCCTGAATCATTGGTCTGTGGCTCCCCAGGAGCCCGTCCTCAGGCTCTAACTCCGCCCCATCCTAGCCCTGAGCCCCTCCTCCTTTGTCAGGCCGGCTGCTTCCACTGCCTCCTTGGGTCCCCCACACCCTGCCCAGGCCGGAGCTCTAAGCCCTCCCCTCATCTTCTGCCCCGCCCTCTCCTTACCACTGCTGCTTTCATCCCAGATGGTGGCATTGTTCTCAGTCTTTTCCTTAGTCCACCTTTCAGTCGTCATTCTCGTCCTGACCCACATAGCTCTTAGTCCAGTTTTTCCTCTACAAGACTCTTCCTCACAGAGGTCCAATTCTAGCTTGGCCGAGCCAACCGTAAACCCCAATCTCAGCTTCGCTCCCGTCCAGCCCTCAACAAAGCCTCATGCTTGTCCGGCCTCTCCACCTACCTTCCCCCGCCCCCCCCACCCCGCGTTCTAAGTTGTGTTGCCTTCTCAGCCCAAGTCTAAGCTTCAGCCGAGCTCTTCTTCCGAGGCACCCCAGGTCCTTCCAAGCTCTTCCCTCTTTGTCCCACTTTAACCTTAGTGCCTCACCTTTATCTCAGACATTAACCTTAACTCGGCCGCTCAGGCCCAGCCCTCAGTCCCATCCCTAGTTCCTCTCCAGACCTACCCCCAGCTCTTAACCCCACCCCCACTTTGGCCCCGCCCCTAGCCCTGCCCTTAGCCCCGCCCCGCCCATTCTCTCAACCTGACACTGCCCTCTGCTCCGGCCCCTCCCAATCCCTTCGGAACCCTGCAGCAGCCCTTAGCTCCGCCCCCAAACTACTCTACTACCTCTCTCCGGGTTGGGAAGAGACCCCTTCGAACCACTCCACCCGCCCATCCCGGCTCTTCTGAGGTTCCTCCAGCCCTGGAAGGCCGGGCTCAATCGCCCTCTCCGCCTGCAGGCTCCTCTGATGAGGACTTGCCAATTCTCAGCCGCCCTGTGGCGCCCAACCCCGGAGCCTCTTAGCAGCGTTCCCTTCTAGCTCGGATGGAGCGCCCTGATCCGGAAAAATACTGCGCAATAAAGATGTTAACATAGAGCTTGGGTCTTGGTCACTTTTTCCCAAAAGTTATAGTGGTTAAGATTTTTCAGTTCTATGTTTGTGCTTTCTTATTTCATTCCCGCAAATTTATGTGTCTCCATAGGCCTGCCCAGTACTGGGAGCAGTCCGCTCCATTAATCCCTCACACCATACAACCCTCACACCTTAAGTATAGCGTCCACGTTGCACATGCTTGTACCACACACGTAGTGTACCTAAAAAAATCTAGTTGCCACACAGACTGATACAATGTGCACACACACCTCACAGAAGCTACCCAGAACAAAGAAGCGTACCCCTGCTCCCTACATTTTTCTCAGCACAAACACTCCACAGCAGTGTTGTGGTGCCAACTACACACACACACACATACACACACACAGGCTCTGTGCAAGGCAAGGCAATGCAAGGGGTGATGAGCAGTCCCATGTGGGAGCAAAGATAAACAAACGAACAAAAAATTCCAGGAGAGTGTGAAAAAATGTTAGTGCCATATAACCAACATTCCCACATCACGCCCTTCAGTTTCTCTTAGCACCAGGCTCCAAAGCCAAGCTATGCCTCAAAGGATGAAAAGGAAAACATGGTATTTAAACTTTGTTTTCTCCAGAGAAATCAAGGGCCTCTCCCGCTGCTGCTCCACATGATACCCTCCTTCACGTTCCCCCAGACCCAGCAGCCTGTGTGGGGAGGGTCACCGCCCAAAACCTCCAGCTCCAGGAACAGCAGGGGAGGGGGGACAGGGAAAAGGGGAGTGTGCAGAAAACCAACCCTCCCAGAACAGAGAAGTGGCTGAGAATGAAAGCAGTCACAGAATGGACAGAGCACTCACTTGCTGACTGGGAGCCAGGATCTGTGTTCTAATCTTGACACTGCAAGGCCTCCCAGGATGATACCAAACCACACCTGTCCCGTATCCCTCCGTTGCTGGGCCAGATGCCTGAGATACTCCAGCCAATCTACTCGTATAGCTATGGGTCAGCTGTCAACAATGAGGCAGGTTCTTGCTCACTCATCCTATAGAGTTATAAGCCCTGGCTGGTGTGGCTCAGTGGATTGAGCACTGGCCTGCAAACTGAAGGATGTTGGTTTGATTCCCTGCCAAGGCGCATGTCTGGGTTGCGGGCCAGGTCCCTAGTTGAGGGCATGGGAGAGGTAAACAATGGATGTACTTACTGGTTTCTCTCCCTCTCTTTCTCCCTCCCTTCCCTCTCTAAAAGTAAAGAAATAAAATCTTTTAAGAAAAAGGTTATAATAGTTAAGGTTTTTGAGCCCTTCCTACATATGTGTTAGTGCTTTCTTATTTAACCCAGGAAATCTCATCGACATTATTAGCCTCATTTTATGGAAGAGAAAACTGAGGCACCCAGGATAAGTGGTTTGTTTGCCTGAGTGTCTTTTTTTATTTATTTATTTTTTTAAATTTTATTTACTTATCTTTAGAGGGGAAGGGAAGGAGAGAGGGAGAGAAACATCCATGTATGGTTGCCTTTTGTGCATCCCCTGCTGGGAAGTGGCCTGCAGGGAACCGGCCTGCAACCCAGGCATGTCCCCTGACCGGGAATCGAACCGCGATTGTCTGGTTCGCAGGCCCGTGCTCAATCCACTGAGCTACACCAGCCAGGGCTATGCCTGAGTGTCTTAAGAGGCAGTGAGGATTCGAGTGCAGGCCCTCCTCAGAGTACCTCTCTCTCTCTCTTTTTGAAGAGGGAAAAATACACACAGTACTTTTTATTCAATTTAGTTTAATCATGTTTTAAACTGTAAAAAGACACCGGTCATAATTTTATGTTTGTACCTCTAATATACTTCGATGTTAAACAGAATATCTTCTGAATAAGAGCCCAGCCCCTACCCTCCCTGGGCCACAGGTATCCAAAACCCAATCACTTCTGTGTTCCTCTCAGACAACTATCTGTTAAAGGAAAGGTGAGAAGAGGCTAAAAAAAATAAAGTATTATTCAATGATAGAAATTTTGCTCTAAGCACCGAGTAGGACACATTCGCAGGGAAGGAACCAAAGGAAAGGGCTCTCAACAACAATTCAGATCTGGCCCAATGAGAGTATGACCCCCCCCAAACCTGGTCCCTAAGCACCCAGCTTGCCTGAGGCCTCCCCCAGCGCCAGAGATGGCCAGCATCCCGGCAGGAGACTCCAGTTCCAAGATTGCCATACAGCCCTGCCCATTCCATATCCCTCATCCCCAACAAAGGACTCCAACCCCCAAAATGCTAATAACAGCGGGTTTAATGCATAAGGCACAGTGTAGGGCTGGGACCATTAAGCATCCTCATACCCAAAGGGCCCAGCAGGCGGAGCAAAAGCAGCAGGGACCATCTCTCCACTCCTGGGCACCCTGCAGAGCCCCCGAAGGAAGGGGGCATTCAGTCTTTGGTATGATGCCTAGGGGCAGGAAGTGACTAGCATGGTCCCAACTACCCCTCTGGGGGTACTGCCACCAAGGGGCAGCTCTTTGGTCTGTAACAGCAGTCAGTGCAAATGCCCAGGGGTAGAGGTCTGGGGGAGTCAAGACGGCACAGTGCCTCAGGGCTGAGCAACCCCTCACCCCTCAAAAGCAACATGTAGGCTTCTTCTTGTTGGTGGTTAGGTACAGGTTGTTGTCATCGCTGTTGATGCCTGAAGAAGAGCGAGGGAAATATGTGAAGCAGGGATTGGAGGCTCCCCGTGCTCTCTGCCACCCGCACCCAGGAGGGCACTCACGAACGACATCCCCAATGCTCCGGGCCCCCGACTTCTCCAGCTCAGCCAGCACATTGGCCTCAAAGGTCAGTGCCGCCACACGGAAAAAGAATTCCCGGACATTTTCACCTGACACGGGGAACAGATGGGTGCTTAGGGGCAGCTCTAAGCCTGGGGTCATTGGGCACAGCTGGAGTTGCAGGAGTGAGGGGCGAGGTAGGCAGGAATGCCACAGCAGAAGGCCTGAAGCCTCTTACCAGTGAGAGATGAGACCGCCCAGTATTCAGCCTTCATCTCTTGGGCCACCTTGAGTGCGTCTCTCTCCATTAGCACATACTGAGCAGGAGTCTGGAGGAAAGTCAGAGTCAGCCCTGGCGGAAGCTCAGTTCATTAAAGCATCGTCTCAAAACACCAAGGTTGTGGGTTGGATCCCCAGTCAGGGCACATACAAGAATCAACCAATGAGTACACAAATAAGTGGAATAAATGGATGTTTCTCTCTCTCTCCCTTCCTCTCTCTTTTTAAAATCAATCAATTAAAAATTTTAAAAGATTTTATTTATTTATCTTTAGAGGGTAAGGGAAAGAAAGAGGGAGAGAAACATCAATGTATGGTTGCCTCTCATGCATCCCCTCCTGGGAACTGGCCTGCAACCCAGGCATGTGCCCTGACTGGGAATCAAATCACGATTCTTTGGTTCGCAGGCCTGTGCTCAATCCACTGAACTCCACCAGCCAGGGCAAAAATTTTTTTATTCAATTGAGAAAAAAAAAAAGCCCTGGCCAGTGTGGCTCAAGTGGTTGGAGGGTCACCTGGTCGGGGCACACATCTAAGTTGCAGATTCGATCCCCAGTTGGGGTGCCTATGAGAGACAGGCAACCAATCGATGTTTCTCTCCCTCCATCTCAAATCAATAAGCATGTCCCCAGAGGACAAAAATAAATATGTAAATAAATAGCAAAATTAAAATAAGGAAGTCAGAGTTAGATGCGGGAGGGTTCTCACACCACGCTGGGAAGGCCCCCCCATCCACAGGCACACTCACACTCAGGTCCTTCTTGGAACCCACAAGGAAGAGAAGCACGCTGGAAGGGTCATTCTCCTTGAGTGCATCAGCAAGCCACTGCCTGCCACAGATGAAGGGCAGCGAGAGATGAGCTGGGCAGCCCCCCCCCACTGACACTCACACGCCCGATTATCCTCCCTCTGCTCCTAGTTGCCGTCTTCCCTTCCCCACCATGCCCTGAGCACTCCTCTTTTCTGAACTCTCTCTTCCCAGAGTCCCAATATATTTCAGCATCTCCATGTACCTGGTATGTTCCAAGGAGGCAACATCATTCAGACTGAAGACAATGATGATGGCTGAAATAGTGGTGGAAACAGTCCTGGGCTGATGGGGAAACACTACCCCCCTTTTCGGCTCATTTCCACAATCCCCTCAGTCCACAATTAGAAGCCAGCACCCACCTACCCCCCTTCACCCAGCCCCTTACCTTGAGCTCCTCGGTAGTAGGTTGATGCAATGCATTTGAATCTCTCCTGTCCAGCAGTATCCCAGCTGGGAGGAATAAGGGGTGAAACAGAGGCATGGGGATGGGAGTGGGGTAGGATGTAGGTGCTAGAGGAAGAAATGGCTGGAAGAGGTAGAGGAAGCACTTACAGCTGCAGACTGAAGGGAACGCCCAACACCTCAAATCGTTCCATCTCAAAGTCCACTCCAATGGTGGCCTTGTAATTCTTATCAAAGGTGTCTTTGCAGAACCTGAGGGGGCACCGGATGCTCTGGCCCTGAGCCCAGCTGATCTGGCTAGGCCTGGCCTCCCCTCCCCAGCCCAACCCAGCTCAGTCCAGCACCCTCTTACCTATTAATGAGACAAGTCTTCCCCACTGACAGGTCCCCCACCACAATGACCTTGGAGATTTTAAATCTGCTGGACACAAGAGGAGGCAGGAGGAGTGGGCCCTAGTTGTCTCACTCTAGGGAGTCCCAAAGTTCCCTAGTAAGTCTACAAAGGTAGCTGCATCCAGGCTGCAGTTCCCAGAGACACCAGGCCTCCTGGGCAGCTCTCCTGGACAGACAGACGTACTGGCCAGGAGTGTTCTGTGCTTCAGTGTAAGAGAGACATGAATTTGAATTCCAGGTACTTCCTATTCACACTTACTAGCTGTGTGACTTAGGACAAGTTACCTAGCCTCTCTGTCTCAGTTCCAACATTTAAGTGGGTATTTAAAATCTATTTTATCGGGATGTTGAGAAGGTTAAAATGAGATAAATGTTCTATATTGTGAAACATACCTCCCACACACACATACATTTTAACATCTCTGAAACCAGGATACATCTTAAATGTGATGTGTTTTCCACTGAATAAAAGGCAGTAACGGTATCCAACACAGTGCCCAGCACAGAGCAAACCCTACACTAATGGCGGCAACCATCACTATTGTTCCCTTTTTACTCACACTTGGACTCATACATGAAGACACAGTCCCTGCCCCGGGATTCAAACAGATGGTATGCGAGAAGCTGAGCCGGGGACCACATCCTTCTCTGTTAGAAACTGAACTGCCACTTTTCAGCCAAACCCGTTTCACTGGACTCACTATAAACTTGCTGGTTATAAATAAAGCGGTCGATGCAGGGTCATAAAAAGGGGGAATAACCACATAGCTGGTAGGCAGAAGATTCAAAGGAGCCCCCAGGGCGCGGACGTTACCACCGCCTTGACTACAGAGTTTCCTGGGACTTCCTTTCTGTATTTTGGGCGTCTCCAACTCACCCCACGGTGCCTGTCCGGTGCTCCTGGCAAGCGCAGGTGACCCGGGGGTGGAAGTCTTTGCGCATATGCAAAGCGGCTTCCCTCCTCAGGTACTGAAAGGAATAGAAGAGAATGAGACTCACCCACCACTGGCCCTGTCCCGCAGCCAAGCAGCCTGGGGCTGGGGGTGGGGAGGGGACCACCCAGAAGCAGCAGGCCTAGCTGGGTGGCAGGGCTGGGCCCAAGCCTCTAACTGGCCTGGTGCCGCCTCCTCCCCGCCCACACACCACCGCAGCCAGAAGCCCGACGTGGCCCCGATGCCTACCTGGGGCAGCTCCGCTAGGACGCGGTCCCTCCGCACGGGCGCCAGAATGTTCATCTTGCCTGAGGTCTTGTTGGGCGCCCTGAGAAGGCGCGGAGGCCTGATCCGCCTCAGCGACCCGGGCCCGTGAGGACCCGACAATCACCCGCGACCGAGGAGTCCCGACTATGACTCGGGGGCACGGGGAGCCTACGGGAGCCCGCGGCCTCGGGGATGCTACGATCACCGAGGGCCACGGAGATGAGACAGTCACGCGGGGCTGGGGTGATCCCACAATCACCCGGGGCCGGACCGTCCCGAAGACGACGCGGGGGCGGGGAGACCCCTCGGCTGCCAAATGGGGACTGGGAGTCCCGTCCCGGGGATCCCGGGCCCGCGCAGACCCTACGATAACTCGGGGCCGGAAAGTTCCTACAAAAACTCGAGGCCGCGGAGACCCGACGACAAGTCGGGGTTGGGGCGGCCGCACCATAACAGAGCGGTCCAAGGGCGCGGGCGCGGGCGCGGCCCCACCGCACGGGGTCAGTGTGAGCAGGGACCGCACTGCGAGGCCGCGGGCCGCGGGAAGAGGGGCGAAGGACCCGGCCCGCCGCGGGCCCCGCGTCCCACTCGACTCTCCCTCTGCGAGCTCTGTAACACGATCCCCGGAAATTCCTGGAGAAGGGCCGCCCCCTGCCCCTCTCCCGGCAGCTCCCTGTCTTGCAACGGGCCCAGGACTCCCCATCCTCTCCTCCCCACTGCACTGCCCTAAGCTTCCTCGACAGACACCTCAGCGGCGACCAGCACCGCCCCCACCCAGGCTGGAACGTGCCCAGACAGGGGTCCCCAGGTGGCTCTGCCCTGCACCTCTGTGCCGGGCTGCATCTCCACCGGGACCCTTACCCAGCCGAACTGGTGATGGGGAATCGGTGATTGCCGCGCAGCATCTGGCTGCGCCAGGACCGGCGGGGAGGGGTAAGGGGGAGAGAAGGGGCCCAAGGAGAGGCGGCGCTTCCCTCCTCAACTCCAGGCCCAGGACGTGACTCACCGAGTCTGCCCCCGCTTGCCGCCCTTCAGCCCTGGGAGTTGGGGGGGGGGGGCGGGGAGTAGCACAGAGGGGGTGCCAGAGGAGCTGGATGCCCACCGTGGAGATAGACGTCCGAGGTCTGTAGTCTTTTCCTTGAAGGCTACCGCGTAAATTGAGGGGTGGGAAGGCTGAAGACTAAGCCTCCTCCCTCGATGGAGGATAAAGGAGGGCTAGATGGATCGGGAACTCCGCCCTTGGGGGAGGTCACTGCTCTGGAGCACTGGGACTCTCCTCTGGTACTAGGCTTCTCTCGGACCCCTTTGGAACCTTCCCAAGGACTTTTCCACTTTGCAGTTCTTTCGGATAGTCAGGATAGCACAATTCAAATCTCACCGTTAAAGGGGAAAGCAGGTTCCAAGAGGCGAGGAGGAAGATAAAAAGGGAGGGGTGAAGGCGGAGTAGACGCCCGCCCTCTGAGAAGCAAACTAAAGCCTTACTGAACTTTGGTGTGTGTCCGGAACTGAATTTGAGGATGCAGGGATGGCCGGGGCAGGGAAGGCAAGACTACTTAAAGGGAAGGGGTTTGTGAATGGAAAAACTATAACAAAAGCTAGCAAATGCTGGAGAAATCTGTGCGCTGGGTGTTTGGAATATTAGCAGTTTTTCCAGAGTATTGTCGAGAAAGCGTGTGAAATCGACGTACGTGAAGAGGGGAGATGTGGCCACCTCCCACCTCCTCTGGTACTTCGTTCCTCCCCTCTCCCTGACTCGATTTTTTTCTGCCACAAAAATCACCCATATTGATAAGCCACGTCTCAATCTCGGGACATCAATTTCCACAAATGTTATTTGAAGTAGTTGGGCCTGACAAATTCTGCTCTAACGTTCCAGGACTTTGCGTCGCTCTCCCTGAGTCTATCTAACTATATCTATTACAGGCTGCAGCGTTACTGCCTCCTGGAACTGCAGTTCTTTTCTCTGAAGTTGCTCAGGATGAGAAACGCTCAGGACCAGACGCGAGTACCAGTCTGTTTATCCGCCGCAGCAGATAAACACGTCTCAAAAAAAAAACTACAACCCCCAAGAAGCTCTACGGTCTTACGAGGAGCTTCTTACAGGGGGAGGTGTGGCGCATGCTTAGTCCCTCTCCTGAGGGAATTAAACCTAACTACTATTCCCGGCGGGCGCTGCGCTACAGATCACCCAATCAGCTTTAAGTAAAAAAGCATCGCGAGTCTTCGGTGAGACTTAGTTCTACTAGCCCGTGGGAACGGGTCTAGGAAACCCTTTTCACGAAGATGGCGCCCAAAGCGAAGAAGGAAGGTGTGTGCTGGGGCTTGGGGGTAACATGGCTGGTTGGCCTGGGATCCCTAGACAGCGAACGAACAGAAAGGACAGTGGCTAACCTAAGACTTATGTGTCAGCTCCGGAGCTGCTGATCCTGTTTCGGCCAGGCTGCGGTGCGCGTGGGCCCAACCGCATGGGCTAGGCTTCGGTTGAAGGGTGAGGGGAGGGAAGCTGATAGCCAGATAGTGGACTTGGGAACTACACGCATCCGAAGATCACAGCTCCATGTCTCCAGACTTGTATGGAATCAGTTCCCTCAACTTCTCTTTTTTCCTTTTTTTTTTTTAACTTCTCATTTTCATTACAGACGACTATGTAATCTCCCAGGATGGCTGTGCGATAGTCTGTATAAAACTACTCGCATGCTTCCTGGCAAGTATCAAGCGTTTGAGCATTGTTAGTTACTTTTTTATGTGTCGGATACCTGGAGTTACTACTCCAAGTGCGCCCCATTACCGTGCATATGATGGAAAATGTTTAATCTGAGACTTGTGATGTCTTCAAAGGAACCACTGATGCACGTGTAGCCCGGGGCGCCCACTACCGGTGTTCGGGCCAGAAGTGATGGATTTCTGAAACCCGCTTCCACATTTTATTTTATTTTCTCAGCCCCTGCACCTCCCAAAGCCGAAGCCAAGGCAAAGGCTTTAAAGGCGAAGAAAGCAGTGCTAAAAGGCGTCCACAGCCACAAAAAGAAGAAGATACGCACATCACCCACCTTCAGGAGGCCTAAGACACTGCGGCTCCGAAGGCAGCCTAAATATCCTCGGAAGAGCGCCCCCAGGAGAAACAAGTCGGTACTGCCCTGTACTCTTCCTCCCCTGCCCCCCTCCCCTTTTATAAGAGAAAGTTTAGGAAGTAATAGAGGTAAGAGAAGTGAGCCAGGTGGCTGTGTAGGCTACCAGACTTAGAGCTTGGCTTCTCAAAAACCTGTAAGTACTTCACGTGTTTACTTAATGGGGTTGTGAGGAGATTGTTAATGCCTTATTTAAGAACAAAAAGAGGCTTTTCACTATTGGCAGGAATTGTTTAAAACAACCCATAGTTAGTGCCAGGGTTAATTAATTGTTAGGTTAATTATCACTTTATATGTTAGGGTCTACCTTCTTAGAAGTACGATGTAGGACTTAGATGTTCTCTGTTGTAGGGCTTCAGAGAAGCCCTCATACACCTCATATAGAATTCCTCATAGCACCTATTGCTGCAGGGAGTAATTGTTGAAGGTGGCAACGTGGGGTGATCTGGGTTGATAAAGGAGATTTACTCATACCTGTACTGGATAGCGAAGGCCTGCAACAGTATATGGAATCTTCCTTCTCATTCACTCTCAAATTTTTACACTTGGGTAATGGTTAGTGGGAAATTGCACAAAAGGTTGGGATACGTCAGTATTTTGGTGGTGTGCTTCTGTTAATAACTAACCTTAGGAACCGCAGATTAGAGACAAACTATGGTAGCAGAATAGAGTGGGTTGTGTCCCTCTGTGGAGGAAAGCAAGCACTTGACAGTCTTTTTACCCCTTTTGGACTTAGCATTTAGTGTAATAAGAGGTTGAGACCTGACTTCTAACATCAAAATGAGAAGGTAGTGTCCATGTGAATAGAGCGTTTCTTCTCTGAATTTCAGGGGGGAAACTGTTGTAGTTGTGTTCAAGTCACTGTAAGTTTAACTTGAGCTGTAAATAAAAAGTTGCTCTCAAGAATTGATGGTCCAGGCAGAAAACTGTACTTGAACAACAATGGGGGGGGAGGTGTTAAAAAAAAAAGAATTGATGGTCTTCAAGCCACCAAAGTGGGTGGAAATAGCCTCATAGTGAAGTAGCAACATTCTTTGGAACTCTAGCCTGGGTTTCAAGATGTTGCAGGCTGGCTTTGTGCTCTTCAGTTTTAACTTCTCAAGTCTCAATTTTATCCACAAATTCTCCCTTCAGAAATGTAAAAAAAGAAAAAAGGAAAAAAAAGCCACTGGCTTGGTTCAGTGGATTGACCACCATCCTGTGAACTAGGGGATCATTGGCCCAATTCCCAGTCAGGGCACATCTCTGGGTTGTGGGCCAGGGTCTCCAGCAGGGGGCATGTTAGAGCAACCACATGTTGATGTTCCTTTCTCTAAAAATAAATCTTAAAACAATAAAAAGGGATTTTTTTTTTTTTAAGAGAAAGAAATGGTGAGGTCAAATAAAGAATGAGGGGTTTGGGACTCAAGATAATTCTTTAATTACTTAAAGGATGAAAGCCCTTCAAGTGGAATAGAGTGCATATGGTTCTCCAGGTCCCTAGGTTTCAGGTTGCAGATGATGACACCTTTGGCGACCAAAGTCTGACAAAAATGATTGCTACTCATTGTCTGATGCACCTGGGCTTCAAAAGAGGTCCCATCCTTTCTTTTACTGGGCTCAGGCCAGGTGACCCCATTTTATCTCTCCCAGGCTTGATCACTATGCCATCATCAAGTTCCCCCTGACTACTGAGTCAGCCATGAAGAAGATAGAAGACAACAATACACTTGTGTTCATCGTGGATGTCAAGGCCAACAAGCACCAGATCAAACAGGCTGTGAAGAAGCTCTATGACATTGATGTGGCCAAGGTCAACACCCTGATCAGGTGAGTGGAGCTCCAAGGGCTGAGGAGGACACTAGGGCCTCAAGTTAGGAAGCCTGGATGGCATGAAATTCCTTAAAATTCCTTGATGCTGCTTCTGGGGTCAGAGTAGGTTTCAGAGTGTGCAAGCCTTGAGAAATGAGCCAGCCCCTGCTGTAATTACAGTCCATTGTGTGGACTATAGACTTTTGAGGCATCATCAGCTCTCCTGGCTGTAGGATTTGATTTATGGCACATGTGGCAAATAAGTCCCATGGGTCGAATCTCTCTCTCCACCTTGTTTCTGCCAGGCGGCAGCACTGAGCTCTCACTTAACTGTTGGGGAAGTTACATTTATACAGTCCGAAAATACATTCGGCCCTTTGAAGGTAACTAAGAGACTGATGTGGCCCCCAGTGAAAATGAGTTTGACACCCGTTATTTATGGGGTTGGTGCTCATTTTCGTGATTCCTATCTCTAGACAGGCCCTAGAATAAGAAAATTATGTCTGATTACCTTGATTATCCTGTGGTGTTTCCCAAAAAGACATCAGCTTTGTAGCCTAGTGGCTTCTTAACCTTCCCATGTCAGTGACAGGAAAATATAACTATTTGGAAAAGACTACATGAAGAAAGGAACCCCTGATGCCTCAGAAGACTGGGGGGAGGGGCAGGGGCACTGCAGGCAGCAGGGACTAAGGCTGCCTTCTCCACCCTAGGCCTGATGGGGAGAAGAAGGCGTATGTTCGACTGGCTCCAGACTATGATGCTTTGGATGTTGCCAACAAAGTAAGCCTCCTTTGTCATGAAACTCCTTTAACAGCTACCCTCTGGGTGCAGATGATGTGTCTGTTTGCGACCAAAGCCTGATGTTTGCTGATTAGCCTTAACTGACTGACTGCACCCCTCTCCTTAATAGGCCTTACCCTGTGCCCACATTATACTTTTTAACCATGAAATTCCGGCTTAATCTTTACATCTCAACTTCAGTAACAAAGCTCCCTTTTGTTTTTCAGATTGGGATCATCTAAACTGAGTCCAGCTGGCTAATTCTAAATATAAAAATTTCATACTATATGCTTCTTTATGTTGATTTCTGGTTGGGCTGGGAGGGCACCATACTGTGGTATATACACACTAAACAGTAGTTTGCGAAAGACTCCTGGCCCACTTACCCCATTGGAACATTCGGTGCTCTCATTTCATCATACCAGTTATAATCCTAGCAGCAAGAGTTCAGCAGATTTTTGTGATCCAGACTTGGGTTACTTGTCCTAGGACAACTAGAATTTGCCTCTGTCATAGGATTAAGTGAATAAGCAAGCAGTTTTATCAGAACCCCTTTTATCCCTGGAAGAAGAGGCTTTGTATGAAACCAATACCTGGATGGAGTTCATTAGCATCCATTTCAGGGCAGTGTGGGCTGGGTAGCACCTTGTCCCCACACCCATCTACCATGTCCAACCGGTCTGTCTGCTTCCCTCACCCTTGCCCAAGGAAGGACAAGGACTTCAGAGAGTGTTTTCAATAGTGGATGCAGGCTTGAAAGGTGGAGAACCCAGATGCCCCAGCTTTGGGTCTTAGTCTTGACTTCAGTTTATGAGTGAGGCTGTTCTTGGCTGTTTGCTGTCCTTGCCACAAGTTGCAGGCTCTGTGCCTCTCACTCTGTTAAGAACTTGTCTTTGTGTTGTGGGCTAGGCACACGTTCAGGGCAAAAGTCCGAGCGGAGGAGGCGGGAAAAGTAGATGAGGATCATGATGTCCAGCATGAGCAGGATACCCAGCAGGAAGGTGCCTTGGGTTCCCTGACCCACATATTGCAGGAAGAAATAGGTGAGGTAGGCCTGGGGGGCCAGTCGGAAGAGAAAATACATGATCAAGTTGACATACTTGTTGATCCGGTACAGGAGGTGATTCTGGGCATTGTTGATCTTCATCATCATGCGAATGGTGAGGAAAATGTTGCTGACCTCTACCAGTAGTGTTATGACACCCCCACCTACAAAACTGCTCCGAAAGATGCCTGAAAAGAAGGCACCCATGGCCTAGAGGGCAAAGGTGAGAACAGGTTAGGTAATAAACACCAAGGCTATCAGATTAAGGCCTGGCTGTTGTGGCTCAGTGGATCCAGCACCAGCCTGCAAACTCATGGGTCACTAATGAGGGTGGGTGCCTGAGTTTCAGTGGAGGCATATATAAGAAGTAACCAATGGGTGTTTCTCTCCCTGTCTCAAAGCACTGAGAAAAAAGGCTATTAGATTGAGACTGGAAAATCTTACCCTGTTTGCTTTCTTCTAGCATATAGTTTACAGTGAGTTAAACACAAATTTTGAACCCTATATGGAGTTAACTGCAGTCAATACTAGGTGAGGTTATGAAATGCTAGCCTTAAATAGTGAACCAAGGGCCCAGACTAGCATCTGAGGATGAAAGATGTAGGACACATGGTGTGAATGGAGTTAAGAGGGTGGAGAGTAAAGTTGATAGCGCCAGGCCTATACCACACCCCAACTTACCATGACATGATGGACCAGGTATTCCCAAGAAGCTCGAGCCTGACAACTAACCACGATGTCCACAGTGTCGTGGATGAAATAACCTAGCAGAGGGATGGGTGAAGAGGTCGTGAAGGGGACTGAACAAGAACCTCGCCCCCCCCCCCCGTTCCTCCACCTACTTAATGCTTAATAGGCAAGACTTACCTGCAGAAAAGCAAACGAGCAGGTAGCCAGAAAGCGACCATGCCGTCTCAATCTCTACTAGCAGTTCTGGGGTCTGCCACACACTGAATGGGAGGGAAGAAAGGAGGCAGGCGTTCATCTCCCAATTCCCAAAGACCTTCCAGCTCCCCAATTATCCTTGCCAGTCCAAGAGGAGTCTAAGCCCACTATATTAACTGGGAAGCAAGTAGGGGCTTGGCTGAAACTCAGGTGTCTTCCCTTTCCCAGGTGAGATCCCCTTCTCCCGGGGCCAGCTCAGGATTGGATAGCCTTCCAGACAGGGAATCATGTGAGACTGCATGGCCTCAGCCCGCCCGTGAGTGATGGGGAGAGTAACGCGGGATTCCCTGGCCACCTTCATTGCCCCGGTTCTTCACTCACCACAGCAAAGCCCAGATCCCTGACACAATGGAATGGGCGAACGAGACGAGTAGGTTGTGCCAGCGCCAGGTGCGCAGGGGGTCAGCACGCACGTGAGCGGGCAGAGGTAGGCGACTGAGCGCGCGCCGGAGTGCCCGGAAGGTCAGCGTGGCGCCCAGGAGCAGCAGCAGGGCGGGGTGCAGCAGTGGGGGCATGCTGGTCCTCCCTGCCGTCCTTCTGTCCCCCCTCTAGCCGGCCTCCTCGCGCTATCCGGCAAATGGAGTTCCCTCTCGGTTCAGTTCACTCCGGACACCTCTCCCGCCGGCCTCCAGCCTCACACAGTTTCTCCACGGAGCTCTCTAGGCCCCTACGCTCCTCTTGTCCCCTCCCAGCGGGCCTCTGCCCCCGCCCCTGGCCGCCCGGGCCCCTGCCCCGCCCCGCCCCGCCCCGCCTCCTTGCCCCCGCCCCTCCGGCGCCTCTGCTGAACAGAGGGCACTAGCCCCATTTCCCGGGGGCTTGGGATGGGGGTAGCTTCCGCGTCCCGCGTGGACTTCGGGGGTTGTCCTGGGCAGCCGCCACAGAGGCATCCTCCCTGGCGCCTCCCAATTCCCGACTCTCTTTCTGCTTCATTATCCGGCGTCCTCACTTTCTCCCGCCACTGGCTCCCCCGCCTGAGTGGGTATTGTGAGCACTCACTCCACCCTCAACTCCACGACTTTTAAACCCGGGATTTGGTTATAGGTTGGAGTCCTGCCTTGGTCTACAATCTCTGCCCAGTCCCTGTTCTTTCACTGGATCACTAGCTTTTTCAGGCTAGAGACAACCGTGTTTACCTGCCTCTACAGCACCCTGCTTAGAGACGGCGCCTAGAAACTGTTGATTAACCCATCACCACCCCTCTTTCCAGGCCGCTTTTGGGCTCCTGGGGCCAAGCGACTGTACCAATCTGCTTTCAGACAGGGCCAGCTCTCTTCTCCCGGCTCTTCGGAGGCTGGAGCGGGGAAGACAGCTGATTTTGCTAGGGTGACCCTCACTCTTCAGGCAGTGGCCTGGAGCACTTGCAGTTTATGGTCACTAGGTGTCAGTCTGTACTCACCATGGCGTGGGATTAACAACACCCCCACCCAGCCCCGCCTCCAAAGAAATGAGGTGGTACTTTAAGGGGAGAGTTAGCCAGCCAGACTCTACGGAACAGAGGAGCGGCTAAAAAGACAGTCTGGAGTAGGGGGCGAGAAAGGGGAGGTAGACGAGGCTAAGAAAGTTGTAGAGTTGTAGTTGAGGGCGAGGGAAAAAGTGTTGCGAGAGGGAGGAAAAGCCAGAAACCTGAGGCGTCAGAGACCTGGGGGCCGAGAGGTTTGAGTGTTTGCCTTGCTTCCTCTGGTGGCTCCAAGGTTACACATTAACCCCTGTGGGGCTCCTGGGTCAACCAAGTCCCTCTCGGTTTCTAGGTGAGAGCACGAGTGTCTCAGGTGAGCAGCTTTCTCCCTTTGTGCTTGCTTCCGCTCCCCTGGGCAGCTTTGTCTGCCGGCCAACACCGGCTTGAGCCCGCAAGGGGCCCTCCTGGGGCTCTTCTAGTGGTCATTCCACGTGAGCAGGTTTGGGCACCCTTTTGAGGGATGTGATGGGAGCAGAAGATAAACACCCCATTCCTCGTCCACTCATAAATAGGGACGCTACCCCTTAGCTAATCACCATCCTCTTGCTCCTAAAATGAGCTTTTATTGACTTAACGCAGAGCAGGAGGTGCCAGGAAGACACCTGTAATTAAACTCACTTCTGGTCTAGACCCTAAACAATCGTACTAACCTCTGGACAGAAACTTAGAACATATGGGCCGAACGCGAATGGGCCATATGAAGGAACGTTGAAAAATCGCAGAACGATGCGAGGTTTAAACCGACACCTAATTCCACTTGCAGCTCCCAGCAATTACTTTGCAGTGTAGGGGGCGTGGCTCTAGAGTAGGCGGGTTCGCGCACGCGCCGGGTCTGGGTGTAGGGGGTTCCGGAAATGTGACTGAGAAATGAGATGGAGAAGTACGAGCGGATTCGAGTGGTGGGGAGAGGTGCCTTCGGGTGAGCCAGGGCTCTGGGGGAGGCAATTACTCAGGGAGAGGGAAAGTAAACCCCAACGCTGTCCGCGAAATCGCTGCCCGGTTAGCCCCGCCCTGAGGCGTGAGTGCCCACTCTTCGGAAGCCCCGCCCAAGCTTCCGGTACAGGTCGGTGACTGCGAGACTCAACTTCTAAGGAGGTCACGCCTTCGGCAAGCCTTTGCACCCCCGCAGTTCTGGTGTTAGAGGACGGACTCATTCATTCAACAAATATTGATTGAGGCTTTCGACGCTGGGAATACAGTTAAGAACAGGCGTAATCTTTCCCCCCTCAGTTTACAGACAATAGGGAAAATGTACAATAAACAAGACATTGTTAAAGCAGTTATTAACAAGCTGCGTGAACAGGACATAATACCAGAGAAGTATTTTTCGGGGGGGGGGGGGGGGGGGTTGTGATCAAGGAAATTTCTCTGAGAGGTGAAGTTTTAAGCCAAGGCTTGAGGAATGAGTACCTGTCTGACGGTGAAGGCAGAGCTTTTCAGATCTTCACATGGGAAGAAATTCAAAGTATTCAAAGAACTAAGAAAAAAGTCTGGTGTAATTGGAATGTAGTGTGCAAGGTAAAGAATGCTATAAAATGTGGGGACGGAGCCAGAATCTAGCCTTAGGCTTAGTAGGTAAAAGGTGTTAAATTTATTTGCAGTGTAAAGGGAAGAGGTTTACCAGAGGATATGTTCTTGGTATGATTTGCATTTTAAAAAGATCACTCTGGCTGCTGTGTGGAATTTAGATTTGAGGGTGACATTTTGAAGGCTAGCACAGTGTTTTAGGCAAGAAATTATGGTTTTGTGAAGAGCTGTACCAAAGGACACAGGAAAATGAATCGGTTCACAACATTTTGGAGGTAGAGGCAGGATTTACTGATGTGTTAGTGTGAAATGGCGGAAGGATTCTGGCATGATTTTCAGGTGTCTGCTTTAATAACTGGGGAATGGTGGTGATATTTGATGACGTGGAAGAGACTGAAGAAGAGAAGTTTTGGGGACAGGAATCAAGAGTTATATTTTGAATTTGATAAAATTTAAGACGCTTGTGAGAGACATTCAGGTAGAGATGCAAAGTAAATAGTTGGATATGCGAGTAGTACTCAGAGGAGAGGTCAGAGCTAGAAATACAAAGTTGATATTTAGATGATCATCTTATAGTCCATTCATTCAGCAGATACTGGGCTCCTACTGTGTGCTGAGATATGTACTAGATTATGCACTGGGGATGTCATGGTGAACAAGAAAGAGCAAGAACCCTGCTTTAAAAAAAAAAAAAAAAGATTGTGCCCTGGCTGGTGTGGCTCAGTGGGTTGAGCTCGGGCTTTGAACTAAAGGGTCACTGGTTCGATTCCTAGTCAGGGCACATGCCTGGGTTGCAGGCCTGGTCCCCAGTGGCGACCACGTGAGAGGCAACCACACACTGTTCTTTCTCTCCCCCCCTTCTTCTCTCTCTAAAAATAAATAAATAAAATGTTTTTTAAAATAAAATAAAAATTTGTATTTACTTACTTTTAGGGAGGGGAAGGGAGGGAGAAACAGAAACACAGATCGTTGTGATGGGGGACAAACCCACAACCCGGGCATGTGCCCCAACACAGACTCGAACTGGCACCCTTTCGCCTTGCGGGAGGACACCTAACCAACCAAACCACATTGGCAGGGCAAGAACCCGACTTTTGTGGACGCCGACCATAGACTTGAAAGAAAAATGATATGAATGGCTTCCACTCACTGAGCATTTTCCATGTGCCAGGCACTGTCCTAAAGGCCTTACATGTATTTTCTTATTTGATCTCAACAACCCTGTGAGGTAAATTCTGTTTTCCAGATGATGATGTCACATAATCTAAGACCAGATCATTAGTAGGAGGAGGAGTCAGGATTTGAACCCAGACAGTTAACTTAGTGTCTATAGAAACTTAGAGAGATGAAGGCTAACTTTGCGGCATTGGGCCTGTGGTGAAACTGAGTCTCATATAAGCTAACTGACTTGTCTAATATCTCAGTTTGTGGTTAGTGCCCCCCATTCCTAATCTCAGTGTTCTGTGCACTCAGATGCCCTTAGTCACTAGCCAGTCAACAGGTCTTCCCAGCCTAATGCATGGCCAGAGGCTGACTGGTACCCACTGCTGTACCGTGTCCTCAGGATTGTGCACCTGTGCCTGCGCAAGGCGGACCAGAAGCTGGTGATCATCAAGCAGATTCCAGTGGAGCAGATGACCAAGGAAGAGCGGCAGGCAGCCCAAAATGAGTGTCAGGTCCTTAAGCTGCTCAACCACCCCAATGTCATTGAGTACTACGAGAACTTCCTGGAGGACAAGGCCCTCATGATTGCCATGGAATACGCGCCAGGTGGGCTGGCCTCCTGGCACTAGGCTGGCACTCAGGGCCTCTCACCTCTGGGACAGACAGACATAGAGTAGCCAGCTTTCCTCCTTGGAATGGGCTTGGCTGAGGGTCAGAGGTAAAGAATTCTGACCTCAGTCGTGAGATGCTGGGAGGCCCTTGCCTTGTCTGGGTATTTAGTTTCATAAAAGGAAAGTCTCAAGCATGGAAGAGATTGGATCCTGACTAGTCCCTGTGGCTGCAGGTGGCACCCTGGCGGAGTTCATCCAGAAGCGCTGTAATTCCCTGCTGGAGGAGGAGACCATCATGCACTTCTTTGTGCAGATCCTGCTTGCACTGCATCACGTGCACACCCACCTCATCTTACACCGGGACCTCAAGACCCAAAACATCCTTCTTGACAAGCATCGCATGGTTGTCAAGATTGGTGATTTTGGCATCTCCAAGATCCTTAGCAGCAAAAGCAAAGCCTACACGGTGCCTGGGCATGGAGGGGACCTCAAGGGTGTTGGAGGTTTTGAGGGCCAAGGCTCACTCTGTAATCCTATCTCCCACCCCGAGATTTTGGCTCCTTAGCCCCTGGCTGGGTTGTCTGTCAGGAGGAAGCACTTTGGCCTGCTTAGGGGAGAAGCTCTCTCCAACCGGCCCTGTGGGCAGAGCTCTTGGTCTTCCCCCCCTGGGTTGTAATTTTAGCTTCCTTCCTGCAGGTGGTGGGCACTCCATGCTACATCTCCCCTGAACTGTGTGAGGGCAAGCCCTACAACCAGAAGAGCGACATCTGGGCCCTGGGCTGCGTTCTCTATGAGCTGGCCAGCCTCAAGAGGGCCTTTGAGGCTGCGGTGAGTAAGCAACCCCAAGGGGACAGCCCGGAAATCTATCTCCCTCCCTCTGAAGTCCCAGGCTCCAACAGCTTCTGTGATTCTTCTGTGTCTGAGTCACATTTCCCTCATCAGACTGGCTGATTACACCAGGGTAGGGCTGTGGCTTCCTTCAGACTATGGATTCCTGAGGGTAGGGCTTGGGCCCCCCGCTTTAAACTGAGGGCTCCTGCCCTGGCCAAGTGGCTCAGGTGGTTGGACCATCATCCTGTGCACCAAAAGCTTTCAGGTTTGATCCTAGGTCAGGGCACATCCCCAGGTTGTGGTTTGATACCTGCTCAGGGTGTATACAGGAGGCAGCCAATCCATGTTTCTCTCTCACATGGATGTTTCTCTCTTTCTCTTTCTCAAATCAATGAACATATCCTCAGGTGAGGATTAAACTGAGGGCTGCTGAAGGCAGGGCTCCCCCATCAGCTTAGTGACCCGACTAAAGTCAAGACTTAACTTTCCCCAGCAATCTGGGGTTTCCGAGGACATAGCTCCCCTATGAGAGGTTCCTTTTTTTCTTTTTTAAATATATTTTTAAAGATTTTATTTATTTATCTTTAGAGGGGAAGGGAAGGAGAGAGGGAGAAAAATATCAGTGTATGGTTGCCTCTTGTGTGTCCCCTGCTGGGAACTGGCCTGCAACCCAGGCATGTGCCCTGACTAGGAATCGAACCGCTTTTGTTTGGTTCACAGGCCTGTGTTCAATCCACTGAGCTACACCAGCCAGGGCTGCCTATGAGAGGTTCTTGAAAGCAGGGTTTAGGTCCTGTAATCCCCTATCATTTTCGGAGTCCCCTTACCAGACTGAAGGCTCCTGAGCACAGGGCTCTGTGTCTACCCATCAAATGGGGGGCTGGGGCTGGAGCCACCTACATACAAGCCTGGCCTGAGGCTCTGGCTGGCCCCACAACTTGTACCTTCACAGAATCTGCCAGCACTGGTGCTGAAGATCATGAGCGGCACCTTTGCACCCATCTCTGACCGGTACAGCCCGGAGCTACGCCAGCTCGTCCTGAGCCTGCTCAGCCTGGAGCCCACACAGCGGCCACCGCTCAGCCACATCATGGCACAGCCTCTCTGCATCCGTGCTCTCCTCAACCTCCACACGGACGTGGGCAGTGTCCGCATGCGGAGGCCTGTGCGGGGAGTGGAGGAGGGAGCCCTGGGCAGCAAGGGGCACCCAGTGGGAACACAGAAGACTGGGGCATAGGGGCCCTCAGGACAAGTCCTCCATTCTTGTGTATGGGAGTACCAGGGAGGGCTGGTCGGTGTCCTAAGGCCCCCATTTGTCCCATAGGGCAGAGAAGTCCCTGGCCACTGGGCCACCCCTGGCCCCAGGCAGCACAGGGAGCAGGACCACCAGTGCCCGCTGCAGGGGTAAGTTCAGATGACGTTCTGGGTCCCTGTGGATGCCCTTCCATTCCCGCCAGTGTAACAGGCCTGATGAGCTGCTCCCACAGGCATCCCCCGGGGACCCGCACGGCCAGCCATTCCACCACCACTGTCCTCCGTGTACACGTGGGGTGGGGGGCTCAGCGCTCCTCTGCGGCTGCCCATGCTCAACACAGAGGTGGTCCAGGTGGCTGCCGGGCGCACTCAGAAGGCTGGCGTCACACGCTCTGGGCGCCTCATCCTGTGGGAGGTGAGCAGGCTGGGGTGGGCCTAGAGTGTGCCGAGGGTGTGCCATAAGGAAGGGGTGCCCAGGCTCCATGCCCTCCGCTGCCTCCTCTGCAGGCCCCGCCCCTAGGTGCGGGAGGGGGCGCCCTCCTTCCAGGGGCAGTGGAGCAGCAGCAGCCCCAGTTCATCTCGCGTTTCCTGGAAGGCCAGTCAGGTGTGACCATCAAGCACGTGGCCTGTGGGGACCTCTTCACAGCCTGCCTGACCGGTTAGTGGAGTCCAGAGACAACCCTGTGGGGACCCTGCTATCAGAAGGCCTCCCAGAGCAACTTCCCTCTTTGCCTGTCATTTACAAACTGCTCGATTAATAATGCTTCTATCTACTGTTTATTAAGCACCAGGGGTTTACTTATACTCTTTCACCCTTCACAATAGGCCTGGGGGGGGGGAGTTGCAGTAACCCATTTGACAGATCTGGAAACTAAGGCTCAGAGGCTAAGTCACTTGTCTAACGTCACGCACTTGGGAAAGGAGACCCCTGTCCTTATCATTCTCTAGCCTTGGCCTCCAACTAACTTTTTCTTGCTTCTCCAACCCAAGGTTGGACTGGTCCCTTTGGAAAAACAGCCTAATCTCTCTCCCTTCCCTTTGCTCAATTGCCCCCTCCCAAGACCGAGGTATCATCATGACTTTTGGCAGTGGCAGCAATGGGTGCCTAGGCCATGGCAGCCTCAATGACATCAGCCAGGTGGGTGCTGCATGTACCTTGGGGAGGAGGAAGTGGGGGAGATGGCAGGGAGCCTGTCTGAGAGCTGACACTCAGGTTGGGGGAAGGGGAATCTTCAGCAACCACAGGTCCCTCCAGCTCCCAGGCTGCACCTGTTCTGGGCAACAGTAGGGGAAGTACAGAGAGACCAGGCTTCCCCCAGTGGTTACAGAGGTGGTGGGGGCAGTTAAAGAAATGGGCATCTCATGGAAATTTGCAGCTTCCGACGGGGCCCTTACAGGGGATGCTGTGTCCGGATCCTCTGCCCACAGTTTCCTCTCTTACTCTAGCCCACCATCGTGGAGGCCCTGCTGGGCTATGAGATGGTGCAGGTGGCCTGCGGGGCGTCTCATGTGCTGGCTCTGTCCACTGAGCGGGAGTTATTTGCCTGGGGTCGTGGAGATGGCGGTAAGCTCTCCGCTCTGTTCCAGCCTTAGCTCCACCTCACACCTCCCCCATCGGTGCTTTGCTCCCCTTTGCACCCACCTTCTACCCCACGGCCTGTTTTCTCCTCCCTCTTCTCTCCAACCCCATTCATTTATCCGCTCAGCAAACCTTCACTGCACACCCACTGTGTGCCCACCCTGTGCCGGGTGCTGAGACAAGATGATCAAGATGTCAGTTCCTTCAGGTGCTTCTGAGGGAGAGTTCATTCACCCGCAGTTTTCACCGTGGCCCTCTCTGGGCCAGGCATCAGTCTGGGCATTGAAACTAGAGATGACTTAGATGCAGTTCCTGTCCTCTTGGAGGACTCTGATGGGGGAAGAACGACACATCATCATGACAAAGGACAGAGAGCATTAGTGCTGCACCCAAGGTCCAGAGATGTGGGAACTCGAGGACTGGCAAGGGACTCCACCTGGAGGAGCAGTGGTGGCACCCGAGCAGGACCTTAAAGGAGGAGTGCCACAGAGGTTTTTGACCACAGAGGGGCCAAGGATGGGCCTTTCAGGCTGTCACTCCCAACCCAGGGGTCCTCATCCTGGCATCACCAACACTGATGCTCCAACTAGCCCCACCCCAACTTCCCCTTCCAGGCCGGCTGGGACTAGGCACCAGGGAGTCCCACAGCTGCCCTCAGCAGGTGCCCGTGCCACCAGGACAGGAGGCCCAGCGGGTTGTGTGTGGCATTGACTCCTCCATGATCCTCACTGTGCCTGGCCGAGTGCTGGCCTGTGGGAGCAACAGGTAAGCAGGTGCCCCAGGATGACTTGACTGTCCCCTCGCCACCCTTGGCTGCTAATGCTCCATCTGTCCTTGCCTACCCTCCACCAGGGATTCAAACTCAGAAGGGCTGGGAGTGCTGTTGGTTCAACTCAGGGTGGGATCTGTCCCTTGGTGCATCCACTCCTGCCCAGTAAGTGGAGGTAGGAGAGTCTATACATTGTCATTTGGGCTTGGCCTCTGGCTCTGCCCTCAGATTCAACAAGCTGGGCCTGGACCACCTGTCCCTGGGGGAGGACTCTGGCCCCCACCAACAGGTGGAGGAGGCTCTGAGCTTCACGCCGCTAGGTTCTGCACCCCTGGCCCAGGAGCCCCTGCTGAGTGTGGACCTGGGCACTGCTCATTCAGCTGCTGTGACTGGTGAGCAGGACAGCCTGGACAAGGAGGCAGGAGGGGGGCTCTGCTGGCTTCTTCAGGACCTCAGTCGAGGCACCCTGTTCCTTCCTTACCCCTCTCTTCCCTTACAGCCTCTGGTGACTGCTATACTTTCGGCAGCAATCAGCATGGGCAGTTGGGTACCAATGCTCGCCGGGTCAGCCGGGCACCTTGTCAAGTTCAAGGCCTCCAGGGCATCAAGATAGCCATGGTGGCCTGTGGGGATGCCTTCACTGTAGCTATTGGAGCAGGTGATTCGTGGGCCCAATGGGAGCAGATAGGGGTATGGACAGGCCCATGGGCAATGCGAGTGGTATCATGCTCGGATCTGCTGAACTCAGCAACCTTGTACTGGGACCAGTACAGCCGTCTGGGAGGACCACTGCTCTCTGAGCTGTGTCCTCTGTTTCGTTCTTTGGGGTTTTCTTTGGCAGAAGGTGAAGTATATTCTTGGGGCAAAGGGGCTCGAGGTCGACTGGGAAGGAAGGATGAAGATGCTGGACTCCCTCGTCCCGTGCAGCTGGATGAGACACACCCCTACACAGTGACTTCTGTGTCCTGTTGCCATGGAAACACTCTTCTGGCTGTTCGCCGTGAGTTATAAGTCTTCCCACCTCATTCACACGGGGTTAACCCAGCTGGCTCCTGCCCATACCCCCACCCCCAGTGGTCACAGCCCAAATCACTAACAGCATCTTTAGTCCTCAAATGAATGAAAGCAGAAGCTGTGGGGTAAAACTGTTTCCTGCCTGGGGTGGGCACTTTGGGACCTCATTAAAGGGCTGCCTTCACTGCTCCCAGGGCCCGAATGCATTTTTCTCCTCCTGCCCCTAGTCCAGTTTAGTTTAAACCTCTATTTCTGGTGTGGCTGTGTGTGGGGTGGGGGGGTGGTGGGCAGCCGGTGCTGCTTGCTGGAGGTTCTGCCCACTGGGAGGCTGCAGAGGTTGGTTTCTCTTTTGTCCTCTCTAGCGGTCGCAGATGAGCCCATCCCCCCGTGAGGCAGCTGGATACACCTCTGCACCACCCTGCTATTGCTTCTCGGAATGTTCTTGAAAAGTACAGGTGCCTGAGGCACGACTGTCCCCACCCATGGCCCCTGGATTATGTCCAATGGGATATAAGAACTAGTGAAGCTTCTGAGCTGCTTTTGGCCCCGAATGTGTAAAACTCAACCCACCCCATCCCCCTAACACTTCTTTCCCCCCCTCACCTCTTCTCTTAAGTCAGTGCCCCCAGGGCCCAGCGTGGCCAGAGTTGGAAGCCAAACCTAACCTTTGGAAACAGGGTAGCCTTCAGAGCCTTGGCAGAAAAAGGCTGGAGATGGATGTGGCTCTGCCCAGACCCAGCCCCTTCCCCTGCCCTGGTAAAAAATGCGTCCCTCGCACCCACGGAGACTGCAGCTCAGTGCTTTGGAGCAGGACAGGCAGAGCCTGCCTGGACCGGGCATTCCAGCGGCCTAGCCTAAAGATTGCCTGGGGCCGGGAGGTCCTAGGGAGCTTATGTCAACTACATGTCACCTGGCATCCTTGCTGAAGGTTGCCCCTCAACCCTTGCCATTCCTCCAAAACAGGTTGGGGGAAAGGGTAACTGGCTGGAGCAGACCAGTTTCCAGCTGCCTGGGAAGTAGTGCCAATAAAAACATCAGCTGCCTGCCTAGAGTGTGGTCTTTTCAGGAGCGGGAGTGGCTGCCCAACACCCTAGAGTTGGGCTGGGTCCCCCATCTCAACTGCAAGGCCATGGTCAAGGAAAGAATGTGGGCGCAGCCTAAGGCTGGGGCCAAGTTTGCTCTGGCCCAGCGCCCAGCCCTGCCTCCCCTCCCCAGCTGAGCTCCCCAGATCTGGTTGCCAGGCTTCGGCTGCCTAGCACCTGGAAGCTGGAGTCCTGGGCTCCTGGGCGACACGTGGCCCTTGAGAGCGAGAGTGAGCAAGCTGTACACCCGAGAGAAGTGAACCTTTGTGGTGCGGCCTGGAGGGTCCCCTGGGGCCCCCCTGCCCCACTCCTTCACAGCTCTGGGAAGAAGCCACGATCTCCCAGCTCTGGGAGCCACGATCTCCCTTCCCAAGGGAAAAGAGGAGCCCCTGCATCGGGGAGGGAGCAAGCCTGGCCAAGTGCCGACCTCGAACGGCGTCCTCGCGGGTGGGAGGAAGGCGGGGCTGGCACTGGCGCTAGGACCCAGCGGGCGCGGCTCCGCCCCCTCTTCCGGCCTGCGGGCGGGCGGGCTGAGCGGCCGGCCGTGGCCAGCATTCGGTGCCGCCCGGAGCCGGGAGTGCGGCCCGAGCGAGGCGCGGGCTGTGGGGCCGCCGCGTGCCCGGCCCCGCTCGCCCGTGCCCGCCCGCTCGCCATGCCCGGCTTCGACTACAAGTTCCTGGAGAAGCCCAAGCGGCGACTGCTGTGCCCGCTGTGCGGGAAGCCTATGCGCGAGCCCGTGCAGGTTTCTACCTGCGGCCACCGCTTCTGCGACACCTGCCTGCAGGAGTTCCTCAGGTGCGGGGAGGGGGTAACGGGGATGGCGGGTTCGGGTGCGGGGGACACTGCATGCGGAGGGGCCCAGGCCGGACGCACACTGGGCCTTTGTCTGCACCTGGCCCCTGACCTCAGGGGCTTCCACCGTGACATCACGGGGCGGTGATGACGTCAGGCTCCGAAGGAAAATCCCGAACACTACTAATCCGCAGGGCTCCGGGTGCCATCGGCTCCCGCTCCCGGAACGAAGAATTCAGTGCTTCTCTGCGGATTGGTGGTGGGAAAAACCGCCCTTCCTGACCGGTAGCCGGCCCTTCCCCCCTCACCTGGGAGCCACAGCTGCCTCATCCTTGAACTTTGAATCCTTCTGGGAAGAGGAAGACAAAACCCTCCCTCCAGCATTGCACCTTAAACCTCTGGAGTTTTCACTCGTTTAAACTAATCTCTTTCAATTCTTCGAACATGTCAAGAATGGCAGCTATTGTTCTCCCATTTCACAGAAAGATTCAAACAAAGGCTATGACTTGCCTATGGTCACACAGTTTCTTAAAGGCTTATCTGGGATTTAAGTCCCGGCTGTGTGTGGTCACACAATAGAGGGAGGCCTGTGATGCTTATCTCCCCTGAAGAGGAAGCTTTTGGGTGTCCCTTCTGATCCCTTGGCGGTCTTGAGTGCCTTGGGTGGTCTACAGATGTTAGGGACCCAGTACCCCCTGGGGCTCTTGGCATACATTGGGTTCTGGGTGCCCTGTGGTCTTGAATCTCCTGCCCACGCTTGTAGCTGCTCAGGCCAGGTGTGGGGAGGTTGTGTCCCAAGATCACCAGGGAAGCCTGGGCCCGCCGCTGCCATGTGTCAGGAGGCTGTTTGCCGAAGGGTGTGGGCTGGGAGAGCATCTATGGGGCTCCTGCCTTTAGTGCACCCTCCCTTCCTCCCTCCCTCCTTCCTTCCCTCCCTCCTTCCCTCCCTCCTTCCTTCCTTCCCTCTGCCTGTCCTCTGCAGTTCCTAGGCTGGCGGAAATCTCAGCAGGCCCTTTGTTTTCTGTTCCCCGTAGCTTGGGCCGGCTCCTGCCCTCACATATGCTCCTGCACACGCTGCTGTGCTGCCCCCTCCTCCTTTTCCCTCACCCTCCTCCCTCCCTCCCTCCTGTGTACACACATACTCCCCTGCAACACACAGCCCCATTGTCTTCTCCAGTGCCCTTCCCCAGCCCTCTGGTTTCCAGATGAGGCCAGCTGAGCACCCCCCCCCCCCCCCAACGGAGCTGACCCACCCCCACTGCCTCAGGGAAGGATCCAGGAGGGGCCTGCCAGGCCCCTCTGCACTGCTTCTGCCCCTCCTTCCCCCGGAAATCCCCTCTTCCTCTCCCACAGCCCCCTCCCCCCATCCTGTCTTCTCCCCTGGGCCTGGGCCTCTACTGCACAGCCTGGAGCAGTCTCTGCCCCTGCCTCCCCCTTTCCCCTAGTGCCTGAGTGTTGCTGCCGAGGCCACTGGAGGGAGGAGGGAAGAGGTGGTTGGACGGGCTCTGCCCCTCACCAACACACCACCACAGGATACTGTATGAGGAAGGGTGTCCGCAGCACTGGCAGGAAACTTTGTCCTGGCGGGCCCCCAGCTGCCCAGGCTAATCTGCCCGTAGCCTGGGGACTTGCCTCAGTCCCCTCCTTGTCTTCAAAACCTGTGGTCAGCACATTCCTGAAGCAACCAAGCAGACCCCCTCCCCCACAGCCTACCCCTGTTAACCCACTCCTGCCAGGTTGGCCCAGGAAGGCTGGTTGCCCCGTGGGCGTGGGCACACCTCATCAGTGCCTGGACATGTATTGTTCTTTGCATTGTTGGCATGACTGATGGTAGTAGTGGGGTCCACGAGAGGAGGTAGGTGCCAGAAATCCTTTGGGCATCTGGGGCATGAACTGCCCAGGTCCTGCAAAGTACCATTACTGACAGGGCTGCTGCGTGGCCTCTGCTTCTGCCCCATTCCTGCCTGCTTCCCACATAACTGACTCAGAAACGCCAGGCCCGAGGGCTTCCAGTCCTGCTGGGTGAGCCCTTGTTCTGCCTGTGCCACGGCAGGCGTGTTCGACTCATCCCAGCCAGGGTCAGCCAGGCCATGTAGGCAGGAGGAGGCACGCCAGCAGGTTCCTTGAGTGCTAACTGCCTGATGGACAGGCAAGGCAGCGGGTTTCAGATGCATGCTGTGCAGTGTTGGCTGTCCTTGCCTTGACAGTTTGCCTTGCTCTAGCCTCTCTTCTGGGTGCTGTACGGTATAGCAGAACCTGTCTGAGCTGTGGAATCAGGCACATCCAGGTGCTGCTTCAGCTGTAGCGTCAGCTTTCATCTGCAAAATAGGGATATTCAGCCCCTTCTCAGAGACAGGTGGTGAGGACTGGATGGGAGTGTAGGAAACATAGTGTCTTGAAGTGATCCTTTCCTCTTCTTTGCTTTAGGCGACACGCCCTCATAAGAAGGAGGGAAAGGATGGGATAAGGTGGCCCCTAGCTGACCTTTGCCCAGGGTTCTTGGCTGGGCACTCTCACAGGGGTTGGGAAGCCCTGGCACTTACTCTCAGCCCATCCCTGTTCACCCTGCTTGCCCCCCCCCCATCAGCTTTTCATCCAGCCAATGAAAACTAACCTGGGAGGAGGGGATGGCTGGGCTGCCTGTTCTTTCCCAGTCCAGCTGCCATCCTGGGGGGAGGGGTGCCAGCTGCCACCTGTCGGCCAAATGCTGTCTGAGGCAGCTGTCTCTGCTGCCACTGGGCCCAGAACTCCCCTCCCCAGGACAAGAGCTGGGATCATCTGGGGTCCTGGGGAAGCCAGTACCCTCAGGACTCCGCTTGCCTTCTCAGGTGGGGCTGGCTAGGAACCGGTCTGGTGAGGGAAGGAGGCGGCCCTGACTGAGGGGGTGGAGCCTGAGGTTCTCCCTTCCCAGTTAGTGTGGGGAGCCTTGACCCTGTCCCCTCCCCTTTCACAGTGAAGGAGTCTTCAAATGCCCCGAGGACCAGCTTCCTCTGGACTATGCCAAGGTGAGTCCACTGAGCCAAGCAGAGGCCCAGGTACATGCTCTTGCCCTTGGTGGAGGGCGAGCTACTGGCAGCCAGTAGGCTCAGGGCCAATGTCAACCTAGTGTTTCTGAATCATGCGCCCCCCACAGAAGTGGCCTGTTCCCTCCCACTAGGCCAGTTTGCAAATGAGGCCCATATTTGCCCTGGGGGACAGGCACTATGCCCAGCCTGTGGGGGTGCCACAGAGGTGCTCTGTGCCCACAAGAAGTGCTCCCCTCCCCTCCCCTCCAAGTGGCAGGCCAGACCTGTGGCTGAGGGCCAGGACCCTTCTACCAGGGGAAGGGAAGCAGAGAGTGGGGGCTGCCTGAGACTGAGCAGGCTGATTGGCTGCCACTCCAAAAGGGAGTATCATGTGCAAACATGTTGGGGACCCCAGGTTCCAGAATGGAGCAGATACTGCCTGCTGTGCCCTTTATCCCTGGGCACGGAGGGGAACATAGCCCACGAGAGGCCTTATTGGCTCCGAGGCAGAGCTGGCCTCTCCGGCGGTGGAGGAGGAAGTGGGGAGTGCAGCAGGCTCTGACCCTGACAGGCTTCTCCCACTGCTCTTCCCAGATCTACCCGGACCCAGAGCTGGAGGTACAGGTACTCAGCCTGCCTATCCGCTGCATCCACAGTGAGGAGGGCTGCCGCTGGAGTGGGCCGCTTCGCCACCTGCAGGTGAGGCTCTGATGAGGGTGGGGACTGCCCTTCCCTCGGCAGGCACTAACCACAGCCTTTCCCACCAGGGTCACCTGAATACCTGCAGCTTCAATGTGGTCCCCTGCCCCAATCGCTGCCCCACAAAGCTGAGCCGCCGAGACCTGCCGGCACACTTGCAACACGACTGCCCCAAGCGGCGCCTCAAGTGCGAGTTCTGTGGCTGTGACTTCAGTGGGGAGGCCTTTGAGGTGGGTGGGGCTTGGTTGAGGGTAAAGGAAGAGTCGGGCACCCAGTGGCTCAGGGATCCCTTGACTCAGCACCTCTGGCTTTTCCACAGAGTCACGAGGGTGTGTGTCCCCAAGAGAGTGTGTACTGTGAGAACAAGTGTGGTGCCCGCATGATGCGACGGCTACTAAGCCAGCATGCCACCTCTGAGTGTCCCAAGCGCACCCAGCCCTGCACATACTGCACCAAGGAGTTCGTCTTCGACACCATCCAGGTGAGGCCCTTACTGAACTGGGCCATGGGGTAGGTAGCAGGGAGTCAGGCTACTACTGACCACTGTCTCCGCGGCCCTAGAGCCACCAGTACCAGTGCCCAAGGTTGCCTGTGCCCTGCCCCAACCAGTGTGGTGTGGGAACCGTGGCTCGGGAGGATCTGCCAGGCCACCTGAAGGACAGCTGTAGCACTGCCCTAGTGCTGTGTCCATTCAAGGACTCCGGCTGCAAGCACAGGGTGAGATGCCCCTCCTCCTTCCAGTCAGCCTCCTTCTTGGTCCATGAAGCCTCAGGCATGGACAAAAGGGCCTGAGCCCTTGGTGGTCCCTGCTCTGCAGCTCTGAACCTTTCAGTCCTTCCCCCTGCTGCCAGCCTCCTTTTCATTGAGAGCTGGATACCTGCCACCCTGTGTACCCACTCCTCCCCTCTGCTCTGGGTCTGTCCCTACTGATAACCCTCTCCTTTGCCCCATGGCCTGGGGCTTTGCCAACAGTGCCCTAAGCTGGCAATGGCGAGACATGTGGAGGAGAGCGTGAAGCCCCATCTGGCCATGATGTGTGCCCTGGTGAACCGGCAGCGGCAGGAGCTGCAGGAGCTGCGTAGGGAGCTGGAGGAGCTGTCCGTGGGCAGTGACGGTGTGCTCATCTGGAAGATTGGCAGTTACGGGCGACGGCTGCAGGAAGCCAAAGCCAAGCCCAACCTCGAGTGCTTTAGCCCGGCCTTCTACACTCATAAGTATGGCTACAAGCTGCAGGTGTCTGCATTCCTCAATGGCAATGGCAGTGGTGAGGGCACACATCTCTCGCTCTACATTCGTGTGCTGCCAGGTGCCTTTGACAATCTCCTTGAGTGGCCCTTTGCCCGCCGGGTCACCTTCTCCTTACTGGATCAGAGTGACCCTGGGTTGGCTAAGCCACAGCATGTCACTGAGACCTTTCACCCCGACCCAAACTGGAAGAATTTCCAAAAACCAGGCACTTGGCGGGGCTCCCTGGATGAGAGTTCTCTGGGCTTTGGTTACCCCAAGTTCATCTCCCACCAGGATATCCGCAAGCGAAACTATGTGCGGGATGATGCAGTCTTCATCCGTGCCTCCGTTGAATTACCCCGGAAGATCCTCAGCTGAGCACACACAGGGCTCCAGGAGAAAGGGGGGTGAGACACGACCTCTGTCAGGCACTGGCTGAGCCTGGGGAAGGGGGCAGGACCCTCTTTCGGCTGCTTCTGCAGCCTAGGTTCTGTTACCCTACCCCTCCTCCCCCTTCCTTACCACCCTCAGGTGCCTCCTATTGGTGCTTCAGCCCTGGCCCCTGTGGCAAGCAGGTCTTGGGGTCGTCAAGGGCTTGGAAACAAGTGATCCTAGGGCCTGTCTCCTCTCCTGGGCAGGGCAAACATGCCTTGGTGCCAGCCACACTCTACCTGGACTGAGATGCCTGCTGGTGCTATGTCCCACGAGCCATAGGGGGAAGGGGGAGTTGGGTAGTTAAAACAATCTGTCTTGAGATCTGATTTCTCTTCCCCTTTCCCCAGCTGTACCTTCTCTGGTTATTTATTTACTTAGTGCCAGGAGGGCGCAGCAGGGGAGCCCTGATTTTTAATAAATCCTGAATTGTATTTATTAATTTGGTTCCAGTCTGACTCATCTGTGTTGGTTAGGGTCCCGGAAGGCTGGGCCCGACGGAGAAAGCAAAGGAGCAGTCCGAGATAGGCTGCAGCCACTCTGGCGCCAGGATCCAGCTGCCCTGCTGGGTTGCCCTCTGGTGGACGACAGGGGAAGTGCATCAGGCTTTGTGGATGAGATGCCTGCGCTGTCCTCTGGTGGTTAAACGGCGAAGGCGCAGGTTCTGAACATTACAAAGTTGGAATCCCGGAGACCGAGTGCCTCTGCCCTGGGCAAGTCTTTCTTGGTCTAGTGATAATAGCTACCACTTATCTAGTACTTTCATGTGGCACACACTGCTAAGCCCTCTACCTCTGTTATTTAATACAACAGTGGAGTTAAATAGCTTTTATCACAATACAAGAGCCTACCTTAGTAGGCTGTAGTGAAGACTTAATCAGACAAACCATGTTTCCAGCACAAAATAAATGCTCGATGAATGTTAACCTGACTTCAAAGTCCAGCCCACATCCAGAGACTGAGTGAAGGGGCCTTCAAGGTGTACAAGGCAATTGGATTTTCCTCGTCCTTACTCACTTTGTTTTCCTGTTAAGCCTCGGTGAGTGCCTGTGATTATTTACTTACCTGATGAAGAGGAGTGAGTTGACTTTCAGTGGTCTTTAAGCTGGTTTTGGGCAGGGCCTGGGTTGTTTTAAGCTCCAGCAATCCTTAGAAATATAGCTCCTTTTAATTTTGCCAGTAGTTGGATTTCAGTTTGGACCCTTGCTGTGCTTCCTTTTTGACAGATTACTTAGTTATATGTGGGGCATCTTTGTTCTCACTGGTAAAATTAGAGTAATCCTGCTCACCTAGATTTGTTGTAAGGATGAGCCAGTCAATATAAAGCACCTTAATCTTGGCTGGCCCTGAGAAGCCCTGTAATGGAAACATCTATTGAAGGGAAGGTTCAAAGGCTGTAGTTTTTCTTGCCTTCACCACAGAGAGCTCAGGTGAAAGGAGCCCTTCTCAGAAAGTGACAGGAGAGGACAGCCTGTCACAGCCAGCCTTGGAAACCAGCTTAGCCTTTCAAAAAGTCAAATTCACTGATCTAGGGAGTGACTGGGGGCCCTGAGTGCCTTTCTGATCAAGACAGACCCTTCACCAGCTAAACCATCTTGGTACAGGGATGCCTGGAAGCTGGTGGGGTAACTATGGGATCTAGCAGAAGAAATGCCTTCACTTAAGCGCTTGCTCCAGGCAACAGGTGGAACCACCTTTCCAGCAGAATGTGCCTCCCACAGCTGTGTGCAACACGAGGGGATTGCAGTCAACCACACCCAGGCCTGGCCCTCCCAGCTGTTGCAGGCAGTCATGGTTGCCTTGTGAAACTCAGGCCAGGTTTTGCAACAAAGTGTGAGCTGCACTCTCACCTGTCTACACTACCTCTGTGACCTGGGGCTGACTGCAGTTCTCCTGGCAGGCGTAACAGGGCTTTCTTTCACAGGGGTGGCTTGAGTAGGGAAGGAGGGAAAGCCCCTTTACAGCGGGCAACTTGCAGATACAACTATGCCCACAAGGGGAGAGCGCTTCCCACTCCCAACAGTATTCTGCCAGCCATCGCTGACTCCTGCTACTCAGTATGACTCCACCCTCACTGAATCCCACATCTTGTGCAATCTTTCCCTTCCTCCATCATGCTGTGGCCCAAATCCATACTCAGCAGAAGGAAATGGGGAATCTAGTTGACCTCTGAACAACTAGGCTTGAACTGTGGATTTTTTCAATAAATACTGTAAATGTACTCTTGTAGTTAAATTTTCCCTCTTGCTTACTTTATTATAAAGAATACAGCATATACTACATAAAACATACAAAATGTGTTGACTGTCACTGGTAAGACTTCTATCAGTAGGTTATTAGTAAAGTTTGGAGTTATTATTTTCTACTGTGTTTGTGTACAGAGGGGCAGGGGGTAGGCCCCTACATTATTCAAGGGTCAACTGTAAATAGCTCTTTTGGATTTTCCCCCCTGCAGACAAAAAAAAGGGACAAGTTCTTCAGCTCTCAATCCTCAAGTCACCAAAAAGCAACTTTTCATGTTACAGATTAGAAACTTAATATCGCCTGTTAGAGGCCCTCAGAAATTCCAGTGCTGGAGGCAGAAGGAACATTTGGTCTTAAATAGCTTATTAGCAGAACACTCATTTTCCAATGACTTAGGGTCCTTGGAGTGGAAGTGACAGCACACTGCAGACCCCTGCTGAAGGTGGCAAACCATACTGCACCATCAGATCTCCAGGCACCAGCTGTCCCACCTAAGGAGAGGTCCAGCCAGCTGGGTACCTTTCTGGGGGCTAAAGAATCAACTTCTATGCCTTAGAATCCCCCCAGCACCTGGTCCACAGTATGGATTGGAAAGGCTTCTCATCAGATGAATAGGAGACCCCCACTTTAAAAATGAGAAATTACTTCCTTTCCAGTAAATGAGGCATTAGAAACCACTAAAAAACAAATAGGACAAGACTGAGAGGCTTTCTTTCTTTTTACTGGTTTATAATAATCTTAAAAACCCCATCACACCCATAAACCACCACAGGTGAGAAGATGAGGGAGGTGGAGAATGAATGCTACAGTATGTGGACAGCTGGGGAATCCTGGTATTCCCTAGGGGCAGTGTGGGACGGAGGCAGGGATTATGGGTAGGAGGCCCTGGTTTGGCCTCTTATTGCTGGTTGGGGGTTGGCTGGCAGAGGGGTGAGGGGCTCAGGGTGAACTAGGAAACATCTCACACCAAAGGCTGAGGGCAGTTAAGAGTGGAGGTGGGGTCACAGTACATTTTCCATGCAGATTAGGGGTGAGAGTGAGAGCTTCAGAGACTTGCACCCCCACACAGGAAGAGATGGGTTTGAGGTTTGATTTAAAGCCCCCAACTTGGTGTCTGGTCCAATTTCCTAAAATGGCAGCTCACCTTTCGGGGAGAGGCATTAGAAAAAAATCACAGCAAAAATATCTGGTTTGAAGCTCAAGCAAGGGATAAAGGGAGACAGTAGTGCTCTTTCAATTTAACTCAGAGAAGCAAGAACTGGAAAGGGGCCCTGGGTGAGATGGTGCCAACGCCCTGAGAGAAGGCGCTGCACCAGGAGCAAGAGGTGCTCCCGAGGGCTCAGGGAAAGGAGGTACCAGTGTTCACAGACGGCAGGAAAACAATTGGGAACAATAAATTAGGACTTCATGTTGCTATCATTTGGCATAACACAATCAGGCATTTTTTTTCTTTTTAAATATAAGGCAACTTGCCAACACATAATTTAAAAACTGGTCTTCAGTCACACTGCTTCAGATCACTAGAGAATTTCTGGCTAAAGAACAGTGGATAGTATATAATAAACAAAACCAAAATCTTAAATAAGAACATCAGCTCACATTCCCCAGAGATAAGAGGAAAAAGAAGGGCTTATTTGGTTTAAAAAAAAAAAAAAAAAAGGCAGAGCCCAACTATGCATCTTTAACAGAAGGGTGCAAAAATTACAAAAAAACATAATCTAAGTTCAAAGTTACAGGAAAGTTTAAATGTCTAGCCAACTGTCACTTGGGAATGAGATGCAGTGAGCATGGAGTGGGTACGAGTGAAGGATGGACGAGGGGCAGGAGGGGCTGTTTCCAATGAACGCCCATCTTCAGCTGTTAGAACCATGCTCATTTGGTAAAGGAAGAATTCAAAGAGCTTAAGGCTTTGTGTTTTTCTTTCTTTCTCATCAAACTGAGGGGTTGCAAAAGGAGGTGTCTAGGTGAATGTACCTGTGGGGCTACTCACACACAATGCTACTCAAACCCGCACTACATTCACACAGAAACATGACATTGAAAACTTACAGTGTAGAGCAATATTCTTAGCCAGTGTAGAGAACCAAAATGCTTTTTTTTTTGGTGTTTTTAATTTCAAACTCCAATGTGATCATCCCTTACCTAACTCCTCAAAAACAATTATTTGTTTTGCTCGCCTTTTTGAGGGGGGTGGGGGGATGAGGGCAGCAGGTGAATTAGGAGAGGACAGTGAGCAAGGGATCCTGGGTGTGCTGGATGGTCACTGAATTTCTCTCAGTTTGGAAAAGGGAGTCAGGAACCAAGACACCAACACAAAGATACATTCCCCTCCCCATCTCATGATGGTGGCTAAGTGCCTGTAGGATGCCCTTGAGAAAGGTGGCAAGGGCAAGTCAGTGGCTCTGGAATCAATGTAGATGTAAAAAAAAGCCTTGAAGAATGGAGAGAGGCTGAGAGGAGATGAAGACTGGTCAGTTTTGATTTGAAGTCTTTGGGGTGAATAAGGAAGTAGCTTCCAGAGCACTTGAGAAGTCTGGCTTCTTAGTCCAGATCAAGACAAACAGGGAGAGGCCTAGCTTAGGGGTCTGGGCACCTAAGGGCCCTTTCCTTAGCCCACCACAGTCCTAAGGGAAAGGCGGAGCAGGAAAGAACAGCAGATAGCTAGTGAGAAATGCAAGGGGATAGAAGGGTGTGGGCATGGCGCAGCACTGACAGGCGGGCAGCTAAGAAAAGAGCCTGGGATGGGACTAGGTCTTAACGTAAACCCAAAAGAGACCTGGTGGAGGGGACAGAATGAGAGAACAGAGGACCCCCCTCTGTTCTTAGACCCCACCAAATTACCTTTCTTAAACATCTGAGAATGATCACATTGGAGCAATAAAACTTTGAAACTATCCAATTACTCAAAAGTAAGACTAAACCTAGGAGGGGGTATATGATGTGTAGCTTGTGGAGGGCACCAGGGCTACCTATCTATACCCAGGGTGCTGAATATGAAGACTTCGACTATCTGTGGGGTCAGGGGCTCGACTGCCAGGGGCTCGGTGAGCCTTGCTCAGCATGGCCAGGCTCTGTTCTCGGAAGCAGGCCTGCTGGAAATCCCCACTTAGGTAATCCACGGTTTGCATCAAGCTGTTCTGGCTCGCCACTGGACCGCCCCCGGTCCCTGCTCTGTAGTGAGCCCCAGCAGCTGCCACACAGTCGAGGGGTGCACCCGTGGGCTGCCCACCGTGGAACGGCATGGTAAGGTCCTGAGACCCCGAGCTGTCACTATTGGGAGTGGGCAGGATGTTATTCCACAGGGGTTGGAAGTAGTGACCATTGGGGTAGGCCAGTGGGGCTGCCAGGCCGTTGACTGGTGGGGACGGGGTTGGCTTCTCCAGGGGTGGCTTCAGATGGAAGGACTGAGCCAGGCAGAGTTCCTGCGGGTAGGCAGAGGCCTTGCCCACAAAGCCAGGCCCTGCCAACTCACGTCCTGTTGCATGCTTGCCTGTCAGGCCAAGGGCTGGCGTCCCACCAGCCTCACTGCACATCTGTTGTAGGTGGGCCAGCTGATGCTGGTTCCAGGTGACTGGCTTGAGGTCGCTAGGGTAGCCAGTGGGGGCTCGAGGGATGCCCGTGGGCAGGTTGACAGGGCCTGCAGCAGGCAATGCGGCTGTGGCCGCGTGGGTGTGCTCCATGGGATTGACCACACATGAAGGCATTGGTGTGGGGACGCTGTGGGTCGACACCCGGGTGCTTGCATTGATGAGCAGACTGCGACTAATGGGGCTGGGGTTGGCGATCTGGCCCTCACACACTGAGGTAGTGCTGATGCCTGCCCTCGTCTGGCAAAACTGGTTGATCTGGTGCACAATGCTGCTCAGGTCCGGGGGCTGGCTGTGCTGCAGGGTGGCCGCCATTGAGAGGGGGATAGTTGAGGTAGACACGGTCACATTCGGGGGCGCATCTGAGTCTGGCATCTTCCGGCCTCCATGCAACAAGGGATTGGGGGGGTGCTGGAGACCTTGGTGAGACAGACCCTGAGGGTGGACCAAGCCCTGGGTTTGGACCATGGGCTGAGGGTGGCCCAGGCCCTGAGGCTGCTGGAGGCTCTGAGGGTGGGACAGTGCCTGGGGTGGCGGGATACCCTGAGGGTGCTGCAGCGTCTGGGGAGGGGCGTGGGCCAGGGTCTGTGCATGCTGCAGGGCCTGCTGGCGGGCCAGAGCCTGGGCCTGGGGGTGGGCTAAAGTGCTAGGTGCCACAGTAGCATAGGGTGCCACTGGGGGGTTCATGATGGCCTCAGGGAGCAACCGGGCTCGCGTGCCGTCAAAGTCCTTGAGTATGCTTTTGGCTGGCACTTTGACAATGGCAAGCAGGCCTGCCTTGGTGGCAGCCTGAGTCGGGTAGGGGCTGTAGCGCTGGGCTGATGTGTCGAGGCCGTTCACAGTACGACGAACGTGTTTCCGCTGGGGAACCTTCACACTGTTGGGGAAGATTTTTATAGTCAGTGGGTTGTTTGCGACCTTCTTAGCATACGCGTCCAATTCGGCTGGGGTAGGACAGTGAGCAGTTCTCATTTTCTGTGTAGTGTCCCCTAGAGAGAGAGAAGGGGAAGGAGAGCAAAGAAGGAGAGGGAGCTCATCAGTGCCAAGCCAACCAGTCCTTCTAGATTTCGCTTTTGCAGGCCTAAGGTGAAAGAGGTGAGGGCTAACTTCCTTGTCAATCCTAGCCTTTGTTTCAAATCTAGCCTCAGGCCGCACAATAGCAGTGGTAACATTTAGTCAGTACTTATAATGGGCCAGGGCTTGTGCTAAGTGACAGACTGTCTCAGCAAACACTTGCTACTGCTTTAGGAAGCAGGTACTATCAAGACTCTTCTTTTACACATGATGTCACTGAAGACAGGAATAGCAGAGCAACTTTCACAAGTGTGGTACCTGGCAGAGCCAGACCGTGGCCGGTCCTTACAGAGGTAATCAGGAGTTGTTATTCTCCTACGGGGGACTCTCTCCAAGTTCTTACCAGTCCATGCTGGCCCGCTGGTTAACAGTTCTAAGCAGAGCTGCTTGTCAGGGTGCTCAGTCCCTTCCTCTAGGACATCCTGATAAAGGGGGCACCCAGAGTGAAGACTCTTCAGTCTGTGAGGCAGAGAGGCATTAGCTTTCTGCTCAGCGTTGGCAGCTGGGGCGTCATGCTCACTGGGTGGGCAAACTGGCACAGCAGACAGGATGCTTCTTTTTCAGGAGCAAAGGATAAGCTGCCAACATCGTCCCCCACCCCCACGTCACAAGTTCACTTTTGTTTACAGCTTATTCTCAGCCTGACTGGGTGAAGATCAAAAAGCTTTATTTATTTCCTTGTGGGGGAGGGGGGTGACATTAGTGACAAGGCAGCAGGGAAGGAATTTAAGAAGAAAGGATTCAGAGAATCTTTAAGTCCTGAGAGCCAAAAATAGTCTGTATTGGCCCTTGTCAGCTGTCACTTTCCAAAACGAAAGAGGAAAAACCTGCCTTCCTTTGGAAACTGCGGAAACACCCACTCAATGCGTTTCATTAATGTTAACAGTCTCTTTGTTCCCAACCCCAGGCCCCTGTCAGGGGCTCCAGCGGATGCTGCGCTTCCAGTCAAAAAGGAAAAGGTTCTGAGAACGGAGCTCTTTCAGGAGGCCACGCTCCTGAGAGGGGCCTCTGCTCCGTTATCCCTCCCTCTGAGGGAGGGCCTCCCCTGAGTCTACACAGAAGGTGCTTACTAACGGCGTGAGTGAGTGCAGGAACAGCCCAAAGCAAAAGGAAAGGGGCTTGGCTGGGAGCCTAGGCTCTGCTAACTGACTCCCCCCCTACTTCCGCCCCTCGCAGAAGCGGCCATACAGACCAGGGACTAAGCTGACTGAATGCTCAGCTTGTGGCTTCAGCTGGCTTGGCTCAAGGAGACCCCACTTCAGAGTCACATCACTGGGCATCAACTGGAACAGAAGTAGGCTAGTGAGTGTGCTACAAGGCATAGGGCACAGCTGCCATGCTTTGGTGACACTGCTGGTTAACTGGCTGCTTAGAAATGGCTGCTCCTGGAAGGAGGAAAAGAAAGCTCAGGTCTAGGACGGGCAGAGATTTGGGTCCGTGTTAAACAAGGCAGAACTTAGCAAAAAGGGTAAAGAAAGGAAAAGGTTTGTGCTTTCCAGTACTGGAACAATGCTCTGAACTTAGGAGACAGGCAGACATATTCAAGGCTCTACTTTATTACTGGGTAAAGAATAAATGTTCTACCCATAAATGAAATGTTTGAAAGATGACAGACTTCAGGGGTTTTTTATTTACTGATTTTTAGAGAGAGAGGAAGGGAGGGAGAGAAACATCGATTTGTTGTTCCACCCATTTAGACACTCATTGGTCGATTTTTGTACATGTCCTGGCCAGGGATCAAACCCACAAACTTGGGAAAATTGGGACAGTGCTCCAACCAACTGAGCTACCCAACTAGGGCTGAAGAAAATCTCAAAACAATGCATGTGCTGGTGACAACTGAGGGCAGGAAGAAGAGGGAGGCAGAGAGGTCCAGAAATCTCCCCCACCCACTCAGTAGCAGCAGTTGGTGAGCAGGGTCAAAGCCCTGAGAGTAGTGTCTGGGTTGGTTTTTATAAGCCACTTAAAAGGCTTCAGTCTTCATAAAGTGGAACCATTTTCTGACCATTCTTACACTCTCCTGGACAAGAAGACACAAAAAACGTCTAGAATTGCCAACCAATAGTCTGTAAGCTCAAGGTGCCAGAATTCCATCAGAAGCTACCCCAGTCAGCCACTGTACTTACGTATCTGTTTGACTGGTCAGAATCATGTGACACTTCTAGCTCAGTGCCTTACCCAGAGCAAACCTGCAGTAGATACTTGGGAAGTGCTGTCACCATGGGTACTGCTTGGATGAATAACTGGGGCTGAGGAATAGAAGCCCAAAGCTGCTGAGTTTTAGTTCAGACAGGAAGTAAAAGTTCTGCCCCTGGGCTTTCTTCCATGTTAGTGGGCTTTTCTCCTCAAAAACCAAGAGAGAAGGATACAGTGACTTGTTGAATAATAGGATTTCTTTGCTCCAAGTGAGCACCAACTGCCAGTTTTTGTCTAGCAGAGGCAGAAGGGAGTTTGGCCTCACTCAGGGGTATGAAACAGGCCATTTACACTGATTAGTTCTTCTTGTCCTGCCTCCATTGATGTTGACAGTGATGATGAGGGTAGACAAATGAAGGAATCAGAATCAAAGGAAGGAATGTTGGGGAGGGGACGGTAGACAAAGGCTATAGTATTTTTGTTAAGGAAGAATCTCAATGATGAGATGAGTATGTCAAACAAGAGGACACATTCTGGGCCAAGATGGAGGCATAGGTGGAAACACTGTACCTCCTCACACAACCAAGTTCAAAAACAACAAAGTTTTAGCAACAAAAATGCAGCCAAACCACAGAAAAATGAACTACACAGAAGTCTGACAACAACAAACCCTTCAGCCAAATCGGTAAGAGGGGCGAAGGCAGCAGCGGAGCTGGGTGGGGCAGGAAAGATCCACCGGACCGACCTGGGCTCGAAACCCAGGCACGCAGACAGCCATGGGTGGATCCCAGGTGTGGAGTAGCAGCAGGCGAACCCACTGAGGGCTGACCGTGGTCACACATTTGCGCGCAAATAAACTGGTGAAGGAACGAGCAGTGAGACAGACCTTGCAGGCCCCAGCAGTGGGAAGCAGCAGAGGGGACCTGCATCGTCCCTCTCTGACCCCGCCCCTACATACAGCGTCACAAACCAGCGACCTGGGTGGCCCCGCCCTGGTGAACACCTAAGGCTCCCCACCTCATACTTAACGGGCACAAACAGACCAAAAATGGCTCAAAAAGAAAGATATCAAAGCCCCAGAGCCCATAACTCTAAGCGACCAAGAAATAGCCAAACTTTCAGATGCAAGTTCAAAACACTGGTGATCAGGATGCTCACAGAACTGGTTGATTTTAGTCACAAATTAGAGGAACATATGAAGGCTAAATTAATTGAAATGAAGGGAAATGCACAGGAAACCAATAGTAATGGAAAGGAAACTGAGACTCAAATCAAAGGAGTGGACCAGAAGGAAGAAAAAAATGACCAAATAGAAAAGAATGAAGAAACAAGAATTCAAAAAAATGAGGAGAGGCTTAGGAACCTTCAGGACATCTTTAAACGTTCCAAGCCCTGGCTGGTGTAGCTCAGTGAATTGAGCGTGGGCCTGCAAACCAGACAATCGCGGTTCAATTCCCAGTCAGGGCACATACCGCGGGGTTGCAGGCCGGTTCCCTGCAGGCCAGTTCCCAGCAGGGGATGCATGAAAGGCAACGATACATTGATGTTTCTCTCCCTCTCTCCTTCCCTTCCCCTCTAAAAATAAATAAATAAATAAATAAATCTTAAAAAAAAAGTTCCAACATTCGAATTATAGGGGTACCAGAAGGGGAAGAGGAATGGCCACGAGTGGAAACCTTATTTGAACAAGTAATAAAGGAAAACTTCCCCAATCTGGCAAAGGAAATAGACTTCCAGGAAATCCAGGAAGCTCAGAGAGTCCCAAAGAAGGTGGACCCAAGAAGAAACACACCAAGGCACATCATAATTACATTAGCCAAGATTAAAATGAAGGAGAGAATCCTAGAAGCAGCAAGAGATAAGGGGACAGTCACCTACAAAGGAGTTCCCATCAGACTGTCAGCTGACTTCTCCAAAGAGACCTTCCAGGCAAGAAGGGGCTGGAAAGAAGTATTCCAAATCATGAAATCCAAAGACCTACAACCAAGATTGCTCTGTCCAGCAAAGCTTTCATTTACAATGGAAGGAAAGATAAAGTGCTTCTCAAATAAGATAAAATTCAAGGAGTTCATCATCACCAAGCCCTTATTATATGAAATGTTAAAGGGACTTATCTAAGAAAAAGAAGATAAAAAAGATGAACAGTGAAAGGACAGCAAACTCACAGTTATTAACAACCACACCTAAAACAAAAGCAAACTAAGTGGATAGCTAGATCAGGAGTGGAACTACAGAAATGAAGATCACATGGAGGGTTAGCAACAGGGGAGTGGGAGAAGGAGAAGGGGGGAGAAGGTACAGAAAATAAGTAGCATAGATGGTAGGTAGAAAATAGATAGGGGGGAGGGCAAGAATAGTATGGGAAATATAGAATCTAAAGAACTTGAGACACGTGGTCATTAACTAAAGGGGGGGAATGGTGGGGGAGGGGTGTGCAAGGTGAAGGGGAATGAAGGGGGGAAATAGAACAACTGTAATGGCATAATCAATACAATATACTTAAAAAAAAGAGGACACATTCTGAGAATTTAGCACCACCAACCTCATATACCCGACTTACGCCTAACCCATGTAAAAAGTCAAGTCCTCCACAGTTTTGTTTTGTTTTTTTGAGAGAGAGGAAGGGAGGGCGAAAGACAGGGAGAGAAACATTAATGTGTGAGAGAAACATGGGCTGTCTCTCAAGTGTGCCCGCAAACTGGAGATCTGGGCAGCAACCCAGGCATGTGCCCCAATCAGGAACCGAAACAGGGCTCAACACTCTCTTGTCTCACTCCCCACACACAGGTACCTCGGAGCCTTTCTTTCCTCTGTAACATCTTCCCTTAAGTGCACAGCTAGCGCAGGTACCACGGCTTTGTAAGCAACTTATTTAAATACTGAACAGAGAGGGCCTGGCCAAGTAGCTCAGCTGGTCAGAGTGTCCTCCACAGTCAGGGCACAGGCAAGAAGCAATTGATGAATGGATAAGGAAGTAGAACAACAAACTGATGCTTCTCTTTCTGTCTCTTCAAGATTAAAAAAAAACCTACTAAATATCAAATATCAACGGTGTCATTAACTAAGACATAAGGCATTGAGCAGGAGCTGCAAACCAGAGTCGTCAGTTCAATTCCCCGTCAGGGCACATGCCTGGGTTGCAGGCCAGGTCCCCAGTTGGGGGCTCATGAGAGGAACCACACATTGATGTTTCTCTCCCACTCTTTCTCCCTCTTTCCCGCCTTCTCCTCTGTCTAAAAATAAATAAAATATAATATTAAAAAAAAGAAGACATAAGGCAGTATATAGAAGAGGAAATATGTGGTTAGATAAAAGAGATCCAGATTCAAGTACTGGCTTTACTATGTAACTACCCAGTCTCAGCCATTCCTCATTTATAAGAAGGAATGACACCTGCTGTCCTACTGCACAGAATCACTAAGATCCAGTGAACAGGAAAGCACTCTGTGGACAGGAACGATGACTGCCAATATTGTTTTAAGGATAGCAGTTTTGCCTGAGTCTGCCCACAGATGGGACAAAGTAAGCTGACAAAGGAAGCCCCAACTGCAGGGTGCCCTGAGCTTGAGTCTGAGAGTACAATGTAGCAGAAAGCACTGTTGTCCGTTCCAGGGACTAGGGATGAAATCTGCCTGAACCCAGGCTTCCCCACAGGGACCTCTCTGTGTATCCTTCTATTTTGAAGGTCAGACAGCATGGGTGGCATATGCAGCAGGAACCTCTATCTACAGGTGGAGAGGCACATGCAGTGTGTTTATAATGAAAGCTTTGGAGTCTGACCTGAGTGTGAGTTCTAGGCAAGTCACTGAACTGTAATGTGATGCTGGCAAGTGGCAAACACTCTTATCCTTAAACAAAAGATAAGAGAGTCTCCCATATGGCATTATTGAGAAATGAATGAAAACCTATATAAAAGTACTCAAGATAGTGCCTGGCACATGGTGAGCACTCAACAGATATAGGCTAATATTTCTGTTTATTCAACCATTAGACCAATTCACCATTTCCAAACCCTTCCACAAGGGGGCAGACAGGCATACTAAAAAGCAGCAAAAGATTTTTTGACATTTGTCCCAGGCCCCAAAAGGTACAATAAGAAAGGTCAAAGTTGTTATCTAAAAGATGATTTGAGAACCAAGGTCTTTTGGTCATTTTAACCATTCACTCAAAACTATTTATTGAGCCAGTACTACAGACCTGACCATGAACTTAGGAAATAGGAGCAGAGGCCTGGGGTTAATAAGGAAAAAAAGTCAAAAACACGTTTCCTGGAGGAATTAGGAGAAGATGGGTCAGAGGAAAACAGATTTTTAAGAACAGAGTTCCAAAATGGCTAGGACTGTCAAAGCAAGTGACATCATGGAATATATAATGTAGAAAAGCTCTAGGAGGGCATCCTCCTAACCCTAAATGGGGTCCTCTAACAAGTACGAGACCCACCCCAAACTCAGATGTTCTTTAATCCAGCCTGCCCTATTGCAAACTACACATCTAGGATGGAAAATAAAGTACATCCTCCTGTACACAGAGAAAAGGAAGAGGAGAAGAGAAAATGTGAAGTTAGAGGGGATCAATCCTGAGTCTGTTCATGGCAGCTCAAGGCTGGGGGTAGGTGACTGGACAGATGAATTACAGTGCTAGACCAAGAAGTCACATTTCCCACCTCCTGACCCTGATCCATTTCTCCTGCCTTTGCTGACTCTTAAAACATGAAGCATAATAATCTACAAACATCTGTATCCCATCCTTACCCCACCAGATACCAGGCTGTGTTTCTAAGGGACTTAGAAGACCCTTCTGAGAATGGGTGTGGAAGTAGGCAAAGGCTGAACTGCAAAGTCACGAAACTGGTTTTAAGGTTTTTATAACTGGTAGCCTTGGGTTCTAACCAGGCGTTTAGTTGCTGGTTCCCAAAAGAGATAGAGCTTATGCTCCATCTCACCTTAACTGCAAATGTTTAACACTAACAGCTCTAAGTCACACAGTAAGATTTTTCTTTTTCCTTATACATTTTGGGAGCGGAGAGAAGAAAGCAAGCAAACTTAAAAAGACCAACAGGATTCTCTTCTGCAAAAGTGTGAATTTAGTTAAGGATAGCAACCCGAGTGTCAAAGAGATTGTAAGACATCATCCCCCAAATAGACAGGTGGATCTCAAACCGAGAAAGAAGGATATCTTAATTCTTAAATATAGATTGGAGCAGGGGTTGGCAGAGGCTACTTAAGAGCTGCTTTCGGGGAAAAGGCAGTGGAGCTCCAATGTCAGCACCCAAGATAAAGCTGCCAATTTGCTTTTCCTCCCAAATGGCTCATCTCTTGACATCACATCTCTGGGTGAAGCTGTCCGAGTTAAGGAATCTAAAAGACAGGGAGTTGCTCTTTGACACGTTAGTGGATACTTCCAAATATACTCCCCTTCCAGTTGTGTCCTTGGAAGCCCAGAAACAGTCACAAGTAGTTGGCAAGTAGACTTGGGTGGCCAGGGAGCACATACACAACTTAGTCACCTAGTTGTCACTCATTAAGAGAAAGGCCAGGGGGAAAGCTGGTACAGCAGGGTTTGCCTGTTGAGTCAGGAGGCTGCAGAAGGAAGACTGTCACTTTCAGCTTTGTCATTACGCAAGCTGGATTCACTGGTCAAATCCCAGACCTGGCCAGGCTCTGAGTCTTACTCTTCCTCAAAGACAGGAAGTCAGAGGCTAGACCATTTTTAATTTCTGAAGATCTAACAGAGCAGGGGCTGGTAAACTACAGCCTGTGGGCTAAAATCCAGCTGCTGTTTCTCTAAACAGCTTAGTTGAAAACAGTCACACACATTGTTTACAAATTATCTATGGCCGCCTTTGCCCTACAGCGGCAGATCTGAGTAGATGCAACAGAAACTATGGCCTGCAAAGCCTAAAACCCTGCCAAACCCTGTCATGAAGGATTCAGGCAAGATACCGAAGCACCTTTTCTGTTAAAGGGTAAGCCTAGATGCTTCATTGATTTCCCCTTTTTGCCCTGAAAGGAAAGTCTATTCCAAATTTAAGGCCATTTTAACACTTGAAGATACTGTACATGGTAATGAGCCGGGAATAGAATCTTTTCCTTGCACATCATGCAATGCAAAGGTAGAAGGGAGGAATCTGGGAAAGCATGAAGCATAAAGCCCCAATTCCAGCCAGTTTAAGATGGGAATCCAGCAGACAGTTCTCAAAAGCTCAATCTTGTAGAAGTACATTAGCAGAAATACACCTAAAAAGAATGAGAAAACTAGCCCCTCATCCCTCTGAAGGTGAACACTTCTTTACTTGCTGTGAACTGAGGTCACTGGCTCAGAAGGCATACAGCAAAGCCAAAGAGAATCGTCTGTTTCCATGGTAGAGAGTGCTCAGAGAGTTCAAAACAACAGAACAGTGTACATAGATTCAGAGACACACATAAGTAATCTAGACTGTGTGTTTTCATTTAATTCCTCATGGGGGTTCACATTGAGAAACTTTTTTGAAGGGTAATATATATTTATAGATAGATAGATAGAGATATAGCTAGACAGATAAATAGATGTATCTATATGTATCTCCTATAAAATTCCTTATAGCTTTGTTGCTCAACAAACAGCTATCAGCAACAATTAAAATTAAGAAGCTACGCACTGTAAAATTCTAGTACTTTTTAGAGGACCTCGGTGGTCAGAGAAGTGTCTTATGTATTGCTGACAAGCTTTTGCAACTGCTTCCTTTTGTCTGTACTAAAGAGTATCTTGAAGGTACCAAAGTCCATGGTCAATACACTCCTCTGAAACAGCCCAAATGTAGGGACAAAATAAGTGAACACATCCTTCCCTGGGACCCAGATTACTTACATTTCTGAAGTCCAGTGTTCATCTGCGTGTGAGAAAGAAGCTGAAAGGACAGGTCACCTGGCCCTGGGAGACAGGCTAGCATGGCAGACCAGCATCAACACAACGTGAGGCAGTCACTCACACTGTAATGAGAAAAACAAGGTCATGGAACACAAGGCAACGCACTCAAGGAAGAAATCGGGGACATCTGATATGGGCAGCACAGGCCCAAGTTTAGATAGATAAGCGATTTAATTAACAGCATGTTGGCTGAAAATATATTTGTGTTTTTATCTGCAGTAACAATTTGCTCCCAACTATTATATTACTAAGCGTAAAACGATATTTCAGTTGGCACAGGTGAGTGGGTGGGGAAAAAACTGAAAAATACCTATCCACGCCACTAAATGAAAAATACAGGTACATCTATAAGGCCTTTTATGCTCACAAGCTCTTCGCCTCTCCCTGTCATGGGCTTTAGGAAAGGCCCAGGGCCATGGGGCTGCCAGATGAATGGCACACTGGCTCTCCTCTGTACTCAGCCAACAAAGGAGCAGAAAAGCTAGTAGGATACATTCCAATTGAGGTGAAGGGAAAAATGATTTCTCCCTGAAAACAGAACAGTGTTCCTGAACAGAGCTGGCCCTCATAGTCTCTGGCTCAGTCTATTTACAGGGCTGGTTGGGGGCCTGGAAGTCAGGCATTTCCAGAGGCAGTACAGTATATGAGTTACAGAAGCACCCAAAGTTTCACTTGTGACACTCCAGTAACCTGAACTCACTTGTAAAAGGAAGGAGCAAAGCATCCTAGGAGACAAAATTAACTACTGTTAAAGCACATTTTGTAAGTTTCTGGGGATTCACCCTTCCTATTGCCTGTCACACAATTAGACCTCCTGGATCCCCCCCCCACCCCGAAATTGTATTGCACCCAAGGAAATCAACGAAGTAGTAGGCTCCAGAAGCCCTCTCTGGGCAAGTTATCCTGACATGATGTCGAGATGGCATGGTTGCATCAGTGCTGTGTACCAACAAGACATATCGACTGAGGTGGCCTTTTGTAGGAAAGGAAACCGTTTCAACAATGCCAAGCAAGCTCTCTGTATACTGAACACCAAGCTTTTTCCCAAAGAAATATAATGCACTAAAACACATGAAATTCTTTTCTCATCCTGCAAAACCCAGAAATCAAAGTAGCACATTAAGGCTTTAGATCACAACAAAAGACTGGGGGGGATGTTCAAATGTTAAAGATCAAAAAACCTCTTTCTCTTACAAGGGCCCTCTCAGGGTATGTGAAACTACCTTGTCATGATGAATATCAGAGAGCTCCAGCTTGCATGCCCAGGTAGCTGAAAAGATACTTTGTACAAGAGGCTGCTCAAACTGATAGCAACTGCAGAAAGAACTGAAGATTGAATGCCTCAATGAGAACAGAGCCGCCCAAGAGTTCTGGCACAGAATCGGTCTTTTTAGGTCTCTGGTGGGTGGGACAACAGAATGAACACAGTGTGCCAACTGCAGTACCTCAAGAATAAAAAGTCTTCTGTTGGGGTCAAATGACTGAGGTACTAGTTAGAATCCCATCCCTGTGAAGGCTGACCTCTATTTAATAACCTCTCTCCTATGGTCCTAATATAGCTGAGGGCAAGTTCCAAGGAAACGAAGGGCATTAACAAATACTGAAGCCTAACACTGTGAAATGGGCTGTATGAGGGGCTTTTGTTGTTTTTTTCATTCTTTCTTAAGATTTTATTTATTTTTTAGACAGAGGGGGAAGGAAAGAGAAAGAGGGAGAGAGAAACATCAATATGTGGTTGCCTCTCGCACGCTCACAACCGAGCACCTGACCCTCAACTAAGGCATGTGCCCTGACTGGGAATCAAACTGGCCACGCTGTGGTTTGCAGGTGGGTGCTCAATCCACTGAGCCACACCAGCCCTGGCTGCTAATGTTTTCTTAATTAGGTCTCCCAACTTTGAAATAGGTATACGGGCAAAACAAAAGCCGCCCACAACCCACACAAGCCAGATTAAGGAAAAAACCAAAAAAAAAAGAAGAACCCTTAGGCGAACAACCTCTATTCTGTTACTATTACCTCTCTGGCCTCATCTTCTAACCACCCTGCCCCTCTTGCTGACTCTACTTCTAGCCACAGTAATCTCCCTGCAGCTTCTCAAAGGACCAGAGCACACTCCCCCCTCCAGGCCTCACACTTCACCTGGATAACTGAGATGATGTGGTGATGGAAGTACAAAGAACACGTTTACTCAACTGTCCGCAGGTAACATGCTCTCCCTGTACTCTTTGGAAGGAACCAGTCTACAAATGATCACCATAATCTAATATACCTATTAAATTTTAATGTCTGCCACCAAGAAGAGATAAATAGGGGTGTGGATCCAAAGAACTGACCATAACTTACTGCCCCTCAAGCCACAACTCCAGACTTCAACAGAACAGAAAAAAATTAAGCCAGCTAAACAGTGGCAAACAGGCATTGAAAGATTTACTGGCAGTAAACAAGGAAGAAAAATAAAAGGTGAATATAGTAGAGATTTCAGAAAGTCAATTTTTAGTTTGGGCAGGAGAGTGAATGATGAAAAAAGATACCAGAGCTTGGAGTCTGCCATGATTAATATATCTACAACAAAAACACAACTCAGCAAGTTCACAATATGCTTTCTTCGTTATTTTTTAAAGATTTTATTTATGTATTTTTAGAGAGAGGGTAAGGGAGAGAGAAAGAATGGGAGAAAACATTTATCAGTTGCCTCTCACACACCCCCAACCAGGAAACTGGCCCACAACCCCAGCACATGCCCTGACCAGGAATCAAACCCGAAACCCTCTGATCCGTAGAACGACGCCCAATCCACTGAGCCAACACCCACCAGGGCACATTTAGAACACTCTTGAGCTCTCAATGACATCATCTGGGCTGCTAACAGTACAGCTAAGTTGTGGCCCTTTCTTTAAAAGGTCAGGGATCTACCTATACTAAGGACGTCTTCAAGACCCTTGCCCAGTTTCACTCAAGTCAAGAATCAGATTCTGCTAGGACAATGACAACAAGGGTATGTGGCATGGTCATGAGGGTTGTGATGAAACAGGAAGTAAGCAATTTCCTTCCACAACCCATTCCAGGAAGCAGGGATACACAGCATAAAGCACTCCTCCAGAGGCCTGGCAGCGAAGCACAGGCCTTTCATTCAAAAACTTCAAAAAGCCACATATTTTGATAGCCATCTGACTTTTCTTAAACATAAATTCTAATATAATTTTACAGCTGGTATTTTCAGAAGCACAATTAGATCCAGAAATAAACGCTAGTACTACTGAAAGGGACTCAGAATTCAAGTCCTGACTGCTGAACAGAATCAAGTAGTAACCTGGAGCTCCAGCCAAGTGAGCTGCAGACATCACAGAGAAAGGAAAAAAAGATCCCCTTGGCAGGGCCTCTCTGTGAGCTTTCAACCACCTTCTCCTACTGCCAACTGCCGTCTAAGCAGCGGACTACTACTATCACAGTGAGGACAGAACTAAGGTGTTCAAACTCTCCTGGGACATTCATGAGTGCTAGCATTTCCCACACTACCTCTAATTAAGGGACAAAAGCCCTTGTCCCTACTGGGAAAACTCGAAAGCACTTTCATTTGTGCCTCTCCCTGCTTCAGAAAACTGATAGAGGTTTTATTAGAGTTGTGATGCAACACTCTTTTCTGGGTGGCATCTGATAAAGAACAACCATCTCTGCCTTGGGGTAGGCCTGTGAAGTAACATCACCTCACTTTTGTTTGTGCTGCTTGTCCCTGCTTTGGACCACTGAAGGGGAGGGAAAGGAGGAAGAGGAAGACTCCTCTTCATGTTTTTTGGTGGTAAAAGTGGGGGAAAGGAGATAAAGTCCTGGCAATGGAATTTCTACTTGGGGATGCAATCACTTTTTCGGCGTAGTCTCAGCACGCACAATCTAGTATCTTCCAGTATGCTCTTTTTTTTAAAATCCTCACCCAAGGACATGCTTATTGTTTTCAGAGAGAGAGAGGAAGGGAGGAAAAGAGAAAGGGAGAGAAAAATCGATGGGGGAGAGAAACACTGACTGGTTGCCTCTCACAGTGCCCCAACAGGGGCACAGGGGGCCGGTGGTACTCAACCGACAAACTAGGCATGTGCCCGGACCAGGAACTGAACTGGTGACCTCTCAGTTTATGGGGACGATGCTCCACCAACTGAGCCCCAGTACATTTGGGGGTCCATTTCTTTCTGCCAAACCTCCACATTCAAAAAGAACCCCCCCCCAAAAACAGTTGATTAAACAATTTCTCATTCATGTTGTGGTTCAACATTTTAAACCTGCCATTAATTAAAAGTGAAACTGAGATCAGTACCATCTCTGATATCTCAGGTAAAGAAAGAAAATGTTATGCCCCATTTTATCCAGAACTCCACTGAATAAAATACACCCAACAGTTAAAATACTGAGTACATGCATCTTGAAGAGAATATGATTAACACTGAGAGACTGTATTAATTAAAAGTGTCATCACTATCCCTGATTAAGCCTTCTTATCCATGAGCTAAAGGCTTACTAAAATGACTACTTTTTTAAAATCCTCACTTGAGGGTATAATGATTATTTCACATGTGTGCGCACGCACACACACACACACACACGAGAACCCTGAGACTTAATCAATACCTCTCCTATAGACTTCCTTTATTAAGAATAGTTTGGCCCTGGCCAGTGTAGCTCAGTTGGTTAGAGTGTCATCCCATAAACCAAAAAGGTGGCTTCATATATATACGAAGCTCAAGGGATGTGGAAAACATTACTTCTAACTACCCTTTAGAACCCACCACGACAAGTCCTCTTCCTATCTTGCTTCCCACCTCCACCAAGTCCCTAAAGGCATTTTCTTTGCCAGTGCTTGCCTGCTTTCTTCTTTTAAAATATATTTATTTATTTTTAGATACAGGGGAAGGGAGGGACAAAGAAAGGAAGAGAAACATCGATGTGAGAGAGAAACTTTGACAGGCTGCCTCTTGTATGCACCCCGACCAGGGACCCGGTCTGTAACCCAAGCAGTTGCCGACTGAAAACCAAACCACTGAGCTCTGCCTTTGTGGAACAACACCCAACAACT